TCAGAATAAAAAAGATAACATCTTAGCCACCTAACTTATCAAACAAAATGAGCCTATAAAGATGGAGATAAAAATCGCAGGTGGACAAAAGGTGCTATCACAGAAGTTCTAAGGGAACAAAGGGGTGACAAGTGCAAACAAAAGCCTGGACAGAACTGGGGCGTTACTTTAGTGGAGCGTGCAGGTAACTCACTCTCACTGTGTTCAAGTAAAGAGCGGAAGACGCCATTGGCAGATGGATTGTTTGGAGTTAAAGTTACTTAAGAAACAGCCAGTACAAGGACATTCTAACCCTCTTTTGCCTCCTGAAAGTACAAAATAAATCTCCACCTGAAGGTACCTTCCCTGGACCACGAGATTCGAAGCATCCTTATCACTAGAAAAAGGGAGTTAAGGTTGAGAAGGCTTTGTAAACAAAAATGATTACTTCCTCACTAATCTGCTACCGCAAGTCCAAATCTCTTTATATTTTGCCAATTCTTCACAAACTTATTGTCTCCTTGTCCAAAAGGTATAAAAGCTGCCTCCTTTGGTCACTTTGGGAATTTCCTATTTTTATAGGCTCCTGTCCATACAAAATTAAATTTGTTTTTCTCTTGATGATCTGTATTAGTCAACTTAGTTAGCAGGCTAGCCAAACAACCTAGAAGGGGAGAAGGGACAAGTTTTCTGTCCTTAGATGAGCATACAGTTTGTGGGTCTTTCCTATATAATAAAAAAGTCCAGCCCAGCAGGGGTGGCTCAGTGGTTGAGCACCTATGAACCAGTAGGTCATAGTTCAATGGATTACCCCTCTGGCCACATGTCCGGGTTTGGGGCACAATCCCTTGTAGGGAGCATATAGGAGTGGGTTGATCAATGATTCTCATCACTGATTTTTTTCTTTCTCCCTCTGAAATCAATAAAATATATATATTAAAGTCCAGCAAGAAGTGACTGACAGAGTAAACCACTGGAAGATGGCAGCATCGGTAAATGCCTGTACTTGCCATCTCCCACAACTACATCAAAACTACAACTAAAAGATAGAATAACCATCATCCACAATCTCTGGAAAGCTGGCTGAATGGAAGTCCTACAACTAGAGAAGTAAAGAAGAAAGCACAATGAGACTGGTAGAAGGTGCAGAGGCGTGGAACAGGCTAGCCCAGCACCCATATGGGCTACTTTTTTAGTCAGGAGGGAGATCGTCTCTGTGGTCCCAGCACCACATTGGACCCCCAGCCCAGGTTCTCAGAGCTGGGAAAAGAAGTCCCTACGGATAATAAGAACTACAGGTGTAAAAACCAGTTCGGATTGGGGCTCAATGATACAGAGGTTACTGGAGAGCCAGCTGTTCCTCTTAAAAAGGCCGGCACCATGAACTGAACTTACCAGGTCCTGCTTTCTCTGAGCTCCAGCACCAGGGCAAGGCTTTGGGGGACAAAGACACATAAGAGGAGGAACTGGATTATCTGGTGTCAAGGCAGGAACATGGGGACAGCTTTCTCCTAGACAGAGGTGTTACAGAGATCACTGTTTTTATGCTGAGACCACCCAGTCCCAGAACTGACGGTCAGCCATTTGTTTGCTCTGCCCTACTGGTTCCCTAAGACCCCCACCTCATCCAATTTACAATCCCACACAAGCTGTGTGCAGTGACTTTTACATATGAATGGCCTTTCCTTGCTCAGGCTAAAATCTCTCAAACAAGCTGCAGCTGGGTCAGGTGAGTCCCAAACCTATAAATAAAAGGCCTAAGACCTAGCACCAGCACCAGCCTGCCTTGCTTCACAGCTGGGCCTCATCTAGGCACTCCCAAACCTGATATAAAGAGTAAGGATCTACAAATCTTTCTGGAGCTCCTGCTGGGTGACCCCAGGCAGTAGCTGACTTTGCACCTCCCTGGAAACCCAAAAGCCAGTATATCCAGTGGTCAGTGTCAGACCATACCAGACTACAACTCACACTCAAGGGGCTGAGTCAGTGAGCACCAAAGCCCAACTAAAGCAAGTCTGCTCCATAGGGGTGTCTCCTGCACAGCAGCTCTCCCACTGAAGTTGCAGCTGGTCCGCACAGCCAATTAGCCTGGGTGTCAATTCCTCCCAGTGACACCAGCAGCAATAAAGTCTCAACAACAACAGGATTGTGCTCACAGTCCATAAATGGGTGCACCTACAGCTCCCAGCTCAGGTGACTGGGGAGGCTGGGCCATTGCACCCTATAGAACACCTACTACAAGGCCACTTTACCAACTCAAGGAGGCATAGCATCTCTACCCAACACATAGAAACAGACGCAGGGAAGCAGCCAAAATGTGGAGACAAAGAAATATGTCACACTTGAAAGAAATGGAAGAAAGCAAACTACTGGATTTAGAGTTCAAAACCATAGTTATTTGGCTACTCGATAATCTTCTAAAAACCTCCACAAAAAAAAAAAAAAAGGAAAAGGACCAGTCAGAAATTAAGCATACATTGACTAAAATAAAGAATAATATACAGGGATTCAACAGTAGAGGATTCTAAGAATCAAATAAATGATTTGAAATATGAGGAAGCAAAAAACACCCAACCAGAAGAGCAAAAATAAATAAGAATCCAAAAAGATGAAGACAGTGTAAGGAGACAACTGCAAGTGTACCAATATTTTCATGATAGGGGAAGAAGAAGAGAGAGAGCTAGATATTGAAAACCTATTTGAAAAAATAATGACATAAAACTTTCCCCACCTGGTGAAAGAAATAGACTTACAAGTCCAGGAAGCACAGAGAGTCCCAAACAAGAGAAAACCAAAGAGGACCACACCAAGACACATCAAAATGCCAAGGGCTAAAGACAAAAAAAAGAATATTAAAAGCAACAGGAGAAAAGCAGTTAGGTACCTATAAGGATATGCCCATACAACTGTCAGCTGATTTCTCAACAGAAACTATGCAGACCAGAAGAGAGTGGTAAGAAGTATTCAAAGTGATGAATAGTAAGAGACTACAATCAAGATTACCTAGCAAAGCTATTATTTAGAACTGAAGGTCAAATAAAGAGCATCACAGATAAGAAAAAGCTAAAGGAGTTCATCACCACCAACGAGTATTACATGAAATGTTGAAGGGTATTATTTAAGAAGAGGAAGAAGAAAAAGATTTAAAAAAAAATATGAATAACAACAAATGAGAAACCTAATGAACAGAATAAGCTGGTGAATAAAATAGAATCAGGGACATAGAAATGGAACAGACTGAGCATTCTCAGAGGGAAGAGGGAAGTGGGAGAGATTAAACAAAGACCTTATATACATATATGCTTTACCTAAGGACATAGACAATTGGATGGTAACCAGGACCCGGGTGGAGGGCGGGGGAGGGAATCAGGGGAAAAAGAGGGACATCTGTAACAATCTCAACAATAAAGATTTTTTTTTAAAAGAAGTGATTGACAGCTATGTTAAAGGATGGCTTTTAATGTTATGAGCATTAACTCATCTAATTTTTATACTGTAATCTTGTCTTGCCTTTAAGATATGCTTGATGTTACAGCATACTTATTTTATAGCTGAGGAAAATAAGGCTCGGAGACGTTAAATCTGTAACTTACTCAAGATCACACAAGCATTAATACCTTGAATCCTACGTTCTTTCTCACACCAAGTGTCTTCCCTGACTTGATTCATTTTGCTAACCATCAATAGCCTAAATCATTTACTCACGATTGCCCTCTTTAGAGCCATTTTTTCTCATTCATTTAGGTGAGGATGTGAATGTTTTCTGGCTTAGCGAGAAGAGAAAAAGGTTAATAGCAGTTTTTGTTCCTAATTAAAATGATTCTCAAGATGACACGATTGAGAAACATGAAGAAGCCCTGCTTAGCATACAGGGCTACACACTTAATTTGGTGAGATGTTTCTATCTAACAGTAGAGAAATAGATTTTTTTTTCTCCTTTTCATGACAAATATTCATCTTTATTTGATTTTAGCCCTGTCGGGCCTGACTAAAAGCAGCAATTTACACACGAGGTCTATAGAAATTTTCTGTGCAAGCCGGTAGCCACCACTAGCCACTAGCCACGTGCAGCTAGCTACCTGTCCCTTAGCATGCCTGGTCACAACGGAGATCTGCAGAAAAGTGTGAAATGCACATTGGATGTTGTTAGCATGAAAAACAAAAACAAAAACAAAACAACAACCACCCATATCATTCATATTTCATATTGGTTTCATGTTGAGGTGATACCGTTTTGGGTAAGGCGGGTTAAATACATTAAAACCCATTCCACCTGTTTCTTCTTACGCCTCTCCTGTGGCTTCTAGAAAATGTGTAATGACTCGCAGTGTATGTTTATTGCCGGGCCCTGGGACATGGAACGGAGGGGAGTTCCATCGAAAAGTAGTGTGTTTCCTTAAAATTACTAATTAAGGAAATTAGTAAGGGGGGCAGGACAGGGCAGGGCAGGGAAGGGCAGGGAAGGGACTGAGCGTGGCCCGGGGCTGCAGTGAGCGGCGGGCGGGCGCGGGCAGCCTCCCCTCCCCCGCGCTCCCGGGGCGGCGGCGGCGGCGGCGCCTCCCCAGCGGGGTCCCCCGGGAGCCGGGGCCCCGGAGCCGCCGGCCTGCGCGCCCCCGGAGCTGCGCGTCCGCGAGCGCCGGTGCGGCCCCCGCCCCCGCCCCCCCTCCCCCCGCGATTTTATTTCCGCGGCTTCAACCGTCGGCCTCCCGCTTCCCTCCCTCCGAGCTGCACGGCGGGCGGGCCGGGCCGGGTAAGGCGGCGGCGCCGGGCCTCCGGGCCGCGGGGGGCCGCTGTGACGGCGGGCGCCGCGCGGGGGCGGCGGGGAGCGGCGCGGGCGGGCGGCGCGGCAGCTGCGGCGCGGAGGGCGGGAGGCGGGCTCGGCGGCGGCGCTGCAGCAGCTGCCGTCGCTCCGAGGCCCCGGGCCGGGCCGCGCCTGCCGTTCCATGAGCCCCGCCTGAGGCCGCGCTCCCCGCGTCCCGAGCGCAGCGCCGCGGCGGCCGAGCGGAGCGGGAGGGAGGGAGATGTCGGACGGTTTCGATCGGGCCCCAGGTGCAGGTCGGGGCCGCGGCCGGGGCCTGGGCCGCGGAGGGGGCGGGCCCGAGGGCGGCGGTTCCGCGAACGGAGCGGGGCCGGACGAGCGGCCGCAGCCCCCGGCGCCGGGCCTCCCGCAGCAGCAGCCGCCGCTGCGCCAGCCGCGGACCGCGCCGCCGCCGGGGCCCCGGAGCGAGCCCCCCGCCGGGCCCGCGCGGCCGCCCGCAGGTACGGAGCCCGGCCCGGCCCGCGCCCTTCCCGCCCGTCCCCCCCCCCACCCCCCGCCGCCGCCCGGGCCCGCGGGGGCGGTGGGCACGGCCCGCGGCGGGTCCCGAACGGGCCGCGGGGCCCTTTGTGCGCCGCCGCCCGCGGGGGAGGGGGCGGCGGGCCCGGGGGGGTGGGGTGGGAGGTGGCCCGCCGCCCCCTCCCCACCGCCGGGGGGAGACATCTTGGGGAGCAGCGCCCTCTGCTTACCGGCTGCTCGGCGCCCCCCGAGGAGCTCCGGCGGCTCTTTTGTTCCCTCCCGCTGCTCCCGCACCCTCCGCCGCTCACACGTGGTGGCGGCGCTTGTGTGCCTCTAGGATCCAGCCCTTCTCGGGGGCTTTGTCGGTGCATCGCTGATTGCACAAAGGAAGGCAGGCATCTGACGCCCCCCCCCCCTTTTTTTTTTCCTCTCTTTCCTTCCTTCTTCCTTCCTTCCTCAGAGCAAACGAGACCCCAGGACAACACCCCCCAGCTGAACTCGGAGCCCGCGATGGCCAAGCCCCAGGTGGTGGTCGCCCCAGTGTTAATGTCCAAGCTGTCCGCGAACGCCCCCGAATTCTACCCTTCGGGTTATTCCAACTTCACAGTAAGTCCACGGCCTCTGTGCCGCTCGAGGTGCCCGAGGACCGCCGGAGAGCGAACGGGGCTGTTGCCCCACGAACCCGCACGCCGGCGTGTGTTCTGCGCGCTGCACACAAAGGCGTGCGTGCGGGGAGCCCAGAGGAAACAACACCCGCGCAGGAGTGTGTGCTGGCCTTACCCAGTTCAGGGATTCAGCATGCAAGCTTCAGAGTAGACAGTCTCGTCTGTTTTGTTCTCAGCATCTGCAGAGTATCTATCTCGAGGCGGATAAACTGGATGCAGGCAAACCCCTTCTCCCCCCAAATCATTCTATAAAACGAAAAATTTTTTACCAGACTTTATCAGTAACGCACAGAATAGGGGCCTGGCAAAGTTTATTTTTAATTTGAGTTTAGTGAGATAGAACCACTGATAGGTTTGGGGTGAATCAAAGAGGGTTTGAGGCAGACTGATTTGTGTAGGTTTTTGAGTGTTGAGAAGTACACATCTGGGCCCTGTTACAATAGATGGCTCTAAATTACGGTTATGCGGACATGTCGTGGGGGGGTGTTGATAAAGTGTTTAGGTATAAAGAACTTGGAAGCCTCCAGATACATCTTTGTCAATAACATAAAATTTTTTTTAAATTGGTCATGTTTTTCTTAAATACCAAGAGAAAGGAATGTGTGTGCTAATAAATGCTTAGCAATTAATTGTAGGTACGTGGGGCAGGACCATTTGGGATTGAAGAAATAATAAGTTTAGCATTAAGTCCTATCTTTCCTTCCTCCTTAGCTTTATTGACATAAAACACACAGAATAGTGCACATACATGTTAGCTCAAAGCTTCACAAAGTGAACACTCGGGCAACCAGCACTGAAATCGACAATAGTTTTGCCTCTTCTCAAAGTTTATATAAATGGAGTTATCCTGAATTGATTACATTTGTTTCTCACTTTCAATCTATCAAAATTGGCCCATGGTGCAGCATGTACTTGAAGGTGACATTCCATTGTGTGACTGTCCCTTGGTCACATTTGTCTGTTTAACACTTTGGGGCTATTGTGAACAGAGCTGCCATCTCTGGCCATGTTTTGATGGATACACACCCTTGCCTCTGCTGGGTACATACTAAGGACTGGAATTGCTGGGACAGAAGGTAGCCAGCTTTGGTAGACACTGCCCACTGGTTTTCCTGAGACTTCAGTGTACGCTTGGAGTATGTGATTTCCAGTTGCTATATTTGCTTGACCACCGCTTAATATTTTCTCTTTTTTAAGTTTAGCCATTCCAGTGGGTGTGTAGTAGCTAGTAGTTTCAGTTTGTATTTACCCAATAACTAATGGTGGCCCACCTTTTTGTTACCTTTATTTTGCTTTTCTCCATATTTGATAGGAAGTATGGGAAAACTAGATTCCATCCTTTAGAAACCCCGCGCATCTGAGACTACATCAGGAAAAGGCTTTCGGGCTGGAAAAGGGGAAGTGCAGGCATAGTGGGAAGAGCATTTGGGCTGAAGGGAGCCGTCAGTCATGTCAAGTAGAAGGGAGATTAGTTTGAATTCTTGCCAGAAGGTTGTATTTGGCCCAGAGAGGAGAGAAACCATTGGAGACCTGTGAGCAGTTGAATAAACACTTAAGGGTACTTACCTCCTAACAGCCGCAGCGTTCTCCATCTGTTTTTCTCCCTGGTGACTGAGCTGTTTTATGATCGGAGGGATGCGGTTTTTTCACGGTTCTGTACCAACTAGTTTTACAGATGGCTCCTGGGCTAGCTGTAAAGCAGAGTAATGGCTGTGTTACTCTACTTACTCTGAGCCACTGGCATCTTTTAGGCGTCCTTTGCTATCCTCTCATAGACCAACTGCTTCTCTGCTTAATTCCTAGAACGGATTGCAAGCTGGAAGCCTGGAACTCACATGTGGCCTGCAGGTGTGTCTTCTTAGGCCTTGTTGTTGCTTTTTTTTTTTTTTCTTTCTTTTTAAGAAATTTTAATAAGTCACCAATACTTAAATTAGGTATTGCAAATCTTAATTTTCTGGTGTTTCATGAAATCAAAAGATTTGGCTATACTAGGCTGTTATTTTGGTGAAAATTGGCGACTAGAAGCAGCCGCTTTAGACGGAGTGTGTAAGCTTGAATTTATACACTGGCTTACTTCATTTGCTTGGAATATACCTGGATTCTATAAGCATTCAAGTTTGCCACTCTTCTCCAGCCTTTATCCTCTAACCATCTGCCAAGGCTCGGAGTTTTTCCACAACCCACTTAGTCTCCTGACTCTTAAGATAGGATCTTTTTTCTTTTCTTTTTTATTTTTTTATTGTTTGGAGCTATAAAATATTGATAGACACAGGTATCAATATTTTAAAAAATTTATTTATTGATTATGGTATCACATAATTGTCCTCATCCCCCCATTTCCATCCCAAACCCATCCCCACAGTTGCCCCCACCCCCCTGTTGTCTGTGACCACTGGTTAGGCTTATATGCATGCACACAAGTCCTTTAGTTGATCTCTCTCCCTTTCCCCACCCTCTCCTACCTTCCCTCTGAGGTTTGACAGTCTAGATCTTTTTTTTTTTTTTCTTAAATCCACACCTGACAATATATTTTTATTGACTTTTTTTTTTTTTTTTTCTTCACGAGAGAAGAGGAAGAGAGAGAGAGAGAGAGAAACATCAATTGGTTGCTTCCTGTATGTGCTCCAACCGGGGATCCAACCTGCAATATTTTGGTGTACAGGGCAGGATTTTGTGAGGGAAACTTTTCCTATAGTAACGGTAATCCAAAGTTAGGTATATTCGCTCACTCAGTCAGCAGCAGTTTAACACCAATCCTGAGTCAAGCACCGGAGTGCAGCAGTGAGCAACCTGGACAAAAATTCCCACGTTCATGGAGCCTCCAGTCTAGTGGCCTCCGGGCTTGTCTTCTGCAGCTCCTTGAGTTTTCTTCTTAGACATGAAAACCTATTGCTTGGTATCCTTTCAGGAAAGCATGCTGCCCTGTGCTGCCAGCTCAGTTGGTTAGAAGATCCTCCTGATACTCCAAGGTTGCAGGTTCAATCCCTGGTTAGGGCACATACAAGAATCAACCCATGAATGCATAAATAAGTGGAACAATAATATTTCTATATATGTTTCTTCCTTAAATTAATAAACAAAATTTTTTTAAAAAGAAAGCATGCCTTTTCTAAAAGCTGTTATGATAGGCGTTTTCTGTGCTTTCTTAACCCTTCCAAAACTCTAAGACCTAATATCTCTAGTCTTAATCCCACTGCTAGAATTCCTGCTCTCTGTCTCTTACCATTGAGGTCTGTATCCTTCTATTCCCCGCCATTGTTTTTCTTTTGTTTTTGTTTTTTTTAACGAAAGCCTGGATATGGCAGGCAGAAAGTCTACCACTATACGCTATGATGAAATTTACAGTCACTTACTGTACGTATTTCCCTATCCATGAGGGTTAACTGACAAACGACAAGCCGTACTAGCTTTTTTTTTTTGCTTTTTTTTTTTTTTTCAGAAATTGTCAAATATCTACTAGGATATAGAGAATGGTATAATGAATCCTCATGGCCTTGTCAGTTAGCTACATGTGGCCATTCTTTTTTTAAAATATATTTTTATTTATTTCAGAGAGGAAAGGAGAGGGGGAAAAAGATAGAAACATCAATTATGAGAATCATTGATTGGCTGCCTCCTGCATACCTCCTACTTGGGATTGAGCCCACAGCCCAAGCATGTGCCCTTGACCGAATCAAATCCGAGACCCTTCAGTCCACAGGCTGATGCTCTATCCACTGAGCCAAACCATCTAGGGCTACATTGGCCATTGGTTCTATATCCCTGGCCCTCCCCTCCCATTGCAAATCTTAGATCTTATTATATCCATAAATAGATTAAAATCTTAATTTTGATATTGGTATTGTAGTGAAATATTAGTGTAAATGTTGTCAGTCATGTTGCAAATCTGCCAGGGATGAGGAGACAATTCCCTGCCTGGCTAGATGGAGCCCTTCTGTTAGAACATTGGTCACTGGGCAAAATTAAGTGGACTTCATCTGGCTGGTTTGGCTCAATGGATAGAGCGTTGGCTTATGAACTGAAGGGTCCCAGGTTCGATTCCAGTCAAGGGCACATGCCCAGATTGTGGACTTAATCCCCAGTGAGGAGGTGTGCAAGAGCCAATCAATGATTTTTATCATTGATGTCCCCCTCCCCCCCTCCTCTCCTTTCCTCTCTGAAATAAAAGTGTTAAAATTAAGTGGACTTTATCTATAATAACAATGGAATAATATGCTAATTAGACTGGATGTCTTCCGGACATCCTTCCTGACAAAAGCCAGGGCGGAGGGAAGCCCGCCTGGGTCCCAGTGCCAGCGGTGACCAGAAGCCGTGCCGGCAGCCGAGGAAAGGAAGGCCTACTCTTGTACGAGTTCTCATGCATCGGGCCCCTAGTTTTATTAATAAAATAACTTTAATCATATGAAAAATCCTTTAAAAAAATTATTTCTTCTGGAAGCATCTCGACCTAAAGCTGCCTCACGTTTATTTCCGCCAGTTGCATGCCTAAAACTTTTCTTTTTAACTTTGCGTCTATAGGAACCCTATGAGGATGGCGTTGAGGATTATCCCACTCTATCTGAGTATGTTCAGGATTTCTTGAATCATCTTACAGAGCAGCCTGGCAGTTTTGAAACTGAAATTGATCAGTTTGCCGAGACACTGAATGGTTGGGTTACCACAGACGATGCTTTGCAAGAACTTGTGGAACTCGTCTATCAGCAGGTAGGTGGGCGAGGAGTACGTAGTGTGGGGTGGTCCTCAGGTAGCTTCCTGGGAGCCCAGGGGTGGTGGCTGCTCCTTGAGGGAGGCCGGGTTCACGTCCACCTGCCTCCACACTTTTAAAAAAATTTATTGATTTACAGAGAGGAAGGGAGAGGGAGAGAGAGTTAGAAACATCAATGAGAGAGAAACATTAATCAGCTGCCTCCTGCAGACCCCCCACTGGGGATGTGCCTGCAACCAACATACATGCCCTTGACCAGAATTGAACCTGGAACCCTTGAGTCTGCAGGCCGATGCTCTATCCACTGAGCCAAACCAGTTAGGGCCTGCCTCCACTTCTTAACTCTTTATGGTTCATGGGAGCTTTTAGGTCTTTGTTGTGTAAAATTTCTATTGTTGGGGATCCAGGGCTGGAGCCAGATTGCAAAGGCACCAGTGTAGCCAGGGCACTAGCCTGGCATTGGAAGGGGCTGCCGGCACTTATGAGGAAGGCTCCATAAGTGCCATGCCTTTGTCCCGCCCCTTTCTGTTTTATGGGATCTGAAATTAACACATTAAAAAGACTGCAGTACTTTCTCCTTGATGTTGAATAGTAGAGCATTATTGGAGTAGGGGGGAAAAAGATCATGGGAGAATTTTTTGTCTCATGATTGAGTCCTTAAAAAAAAAAGGGAAACCACAGAACACCCTGTCTTGTTTTAACATTTCTGCTTGTCTTTATTAAAACTTTCACAGATTTACATCTTAATTCTTTGGAAATCTAATATCTAGATTATTTTTTCATACAAAGTTTAGTTTTGTTGCTAGCATATTGTCACACATTAATGCTATTTTGAGGAGGTTAAGTAGAAACACTATTTTTTAAGGCAAATAAAGTCATGTAAGACTGAACAAAAACGGAGTAAGAGGGGAACATAAATAGAACCTTCGGTATTCTTTTAGTCACCGCTAAATGAGCAACGCAAACATGGAATGTATAGGAAGGGTGATTATGATAGCAAACAGGTTGGGTTGGTTTTTTTTTTGTCAGCTAGTATCTCATTTGACTATATTTCCAATTTGTTCTGGGTTGTTACTGGATCCTAATATTACTTAGCCCAGCAATTTTTCAACCATTTTTTATCTCATGGCACCTATAAACTAATTACTAAAATTCTGTGGTAGACCAAAAATACATTTTTTGCTGATCTGACGAGAAAATAAAGTTATAATTTTGACTCATTCACGCTAGACAGCTATTGTTATGTTGGCTATTATCATTTTTTTGTTTGACAACTTACGGGAAAAGAGGTCAGTGCCCCTGACTAAATAGTCAGGTATTGCATCATTTAAAAGTCAGGGTACTTGCCGCACACATCCATTGAAAATCGACCTAGCCAGAAACACCTGAGATTGTAGGAAGATAGAACCGGTCTGTTTGTCCTGATCCCTACTTTCAGCCTCTAAATGGATTGAAAAAGAATGTGAGATAAGAAATGGAAGAATTACACTCTTGCTTAAACTTTTTCTGGTTTTTCTTCTGTCTATTCCAGCTCCTCAGGAGGCTGCCCTGTCACAGTTCTTAGGGCGAGCAAGGGCTACAGCCTGACAAACACAGCTCCTGGGCTGGTCTCTTAACACATTGCAGACCTGTAGTTTTGTTGCTAGTCTTACCCAGTGGCCAGATGAGTTTCCATGGAACGAGTACAAAAAATGTTTCACATAAAGGTTAAAGGCACTCTTTAAAATTAAATGCCCATTGCGTTTTGAATTATTTGTTACATGTTCTTACAAGCTAATATCTTTTAAAAATTCTTCTGATTGGCCTCAAGCCTTAAAAGAGAAAACACGAGAATTCTTGTGATCCAGCTGCAATTTAACATTCTGTGGTCAGTGATACACAGATTTGCCAGCAATTCCTAAATTCCACTGAGGGAATTTACTCATAGCAACTAACAAAAGAAGGCCTGTTGTAGAAAAAGAAAAATGACATTAAATATCCATATCCAACTTAGATTCTTCTCCAAATGCCAGTAAATGACAGTGTGGGGATTTTGAAAGGCCAGAAGCCATAGGACTGAGGTGGGGAAAGAGAATGGAAGTCCAGTTTGGGGCTAGAAAGCAGGTGGGACAGTTGTAACTGACTTGGCAGATCTAAATAAGTTGAATTTCAAACAGGTGAGGATAGCTGAGAATCTCTCTGATTTATAATGCAGAATTTCCAAAGGACGAGGATAAGGAATGAGGCAAAAAGACTGCTAGAGAATGTTTAAAAATTAGATATTTTTGCACTGAGTAGCCAGTTTGAAGTTTTATTGTAGCCCTTCTTGAGAAATTACTGAAGAAGGTACTCCAGCAAAGCAAAGGAATTAAAGGGAGGATGAAGACATGGGGACGAGGAAGCGGGAATTTTACAGATGTGTGCGTCATCCACACGGCGGTGAAGGGAGATCCCGAGACAGTAGCCATGTGCATAGCAGGCCGGAGGCCAGGCTTCCCCAGAGTGGGCCGAGGCTCCAGGAAAAAGTGCCCTGGTAGGATGAGCACAGGTGCTTCGTTGGAAGATATTAAATTTACAAACTATTGAGCTTAATGAATCAATGAGAGAGATAAAAACCAAAGTGCTAGAAAAAAATCTAGTGTCTAGGAAAATCAGTTGTATAAGAAAGGAATAAGCTTAATACATGGTTCAGCTGTAAGTGGAAACACAGAACTAAGGAATAAAATATGGTATTACTCTATTGGAAGGTGGGAGAGTTGGGAAATAGTGGAAGAGAGTGAGATTAAGCAGGGTGAAGTCTAAATGCTCATATTCCATGGTAGGAAATAGTAGGAAGAGATGTCTAAACTGAGGGATCACAGTTCATGCAGGCAGAGAGAAAACATGTTACCTGCAAGAATCCGAGTGGGTGTGGGAGTCAGCGAGTAGTGGGGAAGCAGGAAGCTTTAATAGCCTGTGGGACTTGTCATTAAATTGTGTGTGATCATTTTACAAGTAAACTAAGAAAACAAGCCATGCTGATAATGGGAAGAGAAGACTTTTTGAATTCGAAATATGAAAAGTCAGTCTTCTTGATGAGAAATGTTTAGGGTCTTGGGCAAGCAAGAAAATAATTAAAAATAAAAAGATCGAATAATTATTATAAAGTACTTACAGCATCCCAAACAATGCCTACCACTCTACATGTAGTTCATTCATTTCCTCCTCAGTGATTGCATGATATTATTCCTATGCCCATTTTACACTGATCTTAACAGAGAAGTGAAATGACTTGTCTGAGGTTACCACAGCTTGTTAGTAGCTCCAGCTTAGAGTCAGAAGGGCATCAGGACATTTGTTAGATCTGAACTCTGGTTAACTACCTTTGTGACCTTGGCTAAGTCCCTTAACTTGTATTATTTTTCTTACCTAACATTTGGTATGAAGTATGTTCTCTACTATTTAAAGACTACAGTGAAAGTTAAACTTCTTGAGTACTGCTTTGGCTATTTCATACAGTCTTTGATATGTAGTGTTTGCTCACTGTCTCTCTTTTTTTTTTTTTTTTTTTTTTAATGGCTTGTCCATTTGAACTTCCTCTTCACCCCAGGTGTTTTGGGGCGTTCTTTAAGTGTTAGTCTCACACACCAGATCCCACTAGTCACCACTTTAGGAATCAAGAAACTAAAGCTCAGGGAGGTTTCGTGATGGCCAAAGTCACAGCACAAGGCGTGGGAGCCTCACTGTGGACGACTGATGCCAGCGTTGGTTCCTCCTGTTGCTGAGGAGCAGCACAGAGCAGTAGTTTGTCAGATACTCTGATTTATAACTGGCCCAGTGCAGCCGGGTACATGTACATATTTTGTGCAAACATGGGTTAGTATAAAGACATACTGTCTGCTTGCTTTCTGGGAAAGGATAGGGGGAACTTGCCTTAAACATTTTCCTTTTTACTTGCTCTGGCTCTTGATGTAATGCTGGGAGGGAGAGTTGACCTGGCAGTTATAAAAGACTTGCACATTTTTCTTTACAATATGGTTGTGTGGGAAGTAGAAATGTTTTTCCTCTCTGGGATTTGCTGTTTGCATTAATGACGATGTCTCTGTGTCATACAAAACTTTCTTCTTTTTGAAAGGCCACGTCCATTCCAAATTTCTCCTACATGGGAGCTCGCCTGTGTAATTACCTGTCCCATCACCTGACAATTAGCTCACAGAGTGGCAACTTCCGCCAATTGCTACTTCAAAGGTCAGTGTGAATATATGAAATTAAAGGAAAACTACTTTTGAAGGTTCTAGAGTTTGACCATTCCTTTTTTCCAAAGACTATGCATTAGAGAAAGTTGCAGGGGAGAAGAGAACAGACCATTCTTACTTACACCGTATTAAAAGTTTACATTTACATATATATACCAGTCTTTGTCTGTAGCGGTCTCTACCTTTGGTTTTATGCTTAGAAAAGCCTTTCCCAAGTTCTTAAAAATGATCCCATGTATTTCTTAGTGCTTTTGTACTTTGGTTTAAGCAAGGATCTGATTTATTAATTGCTATGTGTTCAGCCAGTTTTTCCCATACCCCTTTTTTGAAATGGTCCATTTCCCTGTTGATTTGAACTGCTTGCTACCTTTATTGCACCATATCCTTCTATTAGGGTTTTGATTCTGGACTTTCATTATATTCCATTCATCATTTGTTTTATTAGCATGATGTTTTTTAAAAGCTCTCATTTTTAATGTCTGGTCTAGTTAGTTCCCCATTGTTTTGTGGAATTTTTCTTTGCTGTTGCATGCTTTTTTTCTCCAGTGAACTTCAGAATCAGCATGTGAAATTATATAACTCTTGTTGGTATTTATTAGATTTTTTTGGGATGACACTGAATTCATAAACTAACTTGGGGGAACTAACTTTCTTATAATTTGAGTTTTATTCAATGACAAGGTTGTCTGTGTTTATTATAGTTTGCACATTAGTTCTTTAGAGATACTTTGAATGGTTGCACAATGTGGTTAGCCTGCAAGGGGACAGAATGAAGATGCAGAAGTAACTTCAGCAGCACATGGGGATCAAGCTTACTGATGGGGGCTCAGGTCCACATGCACGAGAGACACAGCTGGGGAGCAACAAAGCAAAGATGGGCTCCTGCCTCTTCCCACCAAAATGTATTTCAGATACAACAGATTTAAATAGAAGTGAGACAGTAAATACTAGGCAGAAATTGCCAACAAAAACCGTAGGCTGATAAACCCTTTTAAACAAGACATGATCCCCATAGACCTTATGCAAGAGATTAAACTTAATAGCACAGAGGTTATAAAATTGGGGGGGGGGGGGTCATAAGTTTATATGAACTAAAGTAAAAATAGGAAAATATATATATATATTACACATGGTAATGACCTCATTTATTTCCCAGTGCGTAAAATTTGTGCACTTGGGGGATGGGGGTGGGGTCCCTCGGTCCAGCCTGCACCCTCTTGCAGTCCAGGAGCCGTCAGAGTCGGACATCCTTAGTGCTGCAGTGGAGGCGGGAGAGGCTCCCGCTGTCACTGTTGTACTCGCCAGCCATGAGCCTGGCTTTGGCTGAATGGTGCTCCCCCTGTGGGAGCACAGTGACCACCAGGGGGCAGCTCCTGCATTGAGTGTCTGCCCCTGGTGGTCAGTGCACATCATAGTAACTGGTCGTTCTGCCATTCGGTCAATTTGCATATTAGCCTTTGATTGTATAGGATGAAAAGGGGCCTATTAGGAATGAGTAAGGAAAAGACCAGTATTTTATTTTATTTTATTTTTTTATTTAATTTTTTAAAATATATATATTTTATTGATTTTGTACAGAGAGGAAGGGAGAGAGAGAGTTAGAAACATTGATGAGAGAGAGTCATCGATCAGCTGCCTCTTGCATACCCCGTACTGGGGATGTGGCCGCAACCAAGGTACATGCCCTTGACCGGAATCGAACCCGGGTCCCTTCAGTCCCCAAGCCGACGCTCTATCCATTGAGCCAAACCGGTTTTGGCAAGACCAGTATTTTAATAGAAATATTTGGAATGGCTCTGAATGGGTACAGTTTGGAAAAATATAAATGGCAAAGTTATGAAAAGATAATCTAACCTTTCCTGTAGTTAAGGAAATGCAAATTAAAGCTTCTGGAAAGATGTGAGGGAGTAGGCTGGAGGGAAAGTGGCCCATCTTCTCCGCTGCTCAGCCTGGCCACGCAGTGAAACTGGGCTGAGCCCCTGCCTCATGCTGGGAAATCCAGCATAGTGGGCTGAGTTTGTTAGGGCTCTCCAGTGTAGCTGTGGTTGAGAAGCCTCTTCCAACTCTATGACTCTGCCCCCATGTGTGCTTCTGCAGGATTGACACTGTCGGATGTCAACACAGAAAATTCTAATCACACAACTAGTGAAAAGCAGGGCACAGTCTACTACCTGGCTTCAAGGTGTATACACACTTGAAGCAGACAGAAGTTACCTCACAGCAGTTTTTTCTGGGTTGCAGTGACTTTATTCTTTATTTTTCTCTGCTGTAACCTTTCTGAAATGAGCATGTGGTACTTTTATAATTGAAATTCTTAAGCTTAAAAAGGCTTAGGTTCTTTTCTCTCACCCAGATAATCAGTCATGTACAGGAGTAGGAATTTGCTTTTGCACATACATTCACATATCTTAATGCAGAATAGCTTAGCATTTATAAAACAAAAGGAGGTCATTTCAAAGATTTTTACCTGCAAAGTCATAAAAGAAAGGTCAGAGAAGGTGCCTGAATAACGGAATTGGCATTAATTAACTAATCCTTTCCATTATTAACCACAGTGTTCTATTTATAGATATCCCAACTTTTTCCTGGTGAGGAATTAATATGTATGAGAAGGTAACAAATACCTCTGTCTCTGACTCACACAGAGATGTTGCTCATTTAATGCAGCAAGTGAGCATGGGAATCAGCCACAGAGGGCCCAGTAAGCTGTCCTGGGTGTCTTTATTTTAAATATATTAATTTTGTTTTAAATATAATAAAATTAATGTATTAATTTTAAATATATTTTTATTCAGAGAGGAAGGGAGAGGGGGAGAGAGAAAGAGAAACATCAATAATGATGAGAATCAATGATCTACTGCCTCCTGCATGCTGCCCCCTACTGGAGATCAAGCCTGTAATCCCCAGCATGTGCCCTTGACTGGAATCAAACCCAGGACCCTTCAGTCCGCAGGCTGACGCTCTACCCACTGAGTGGCGTAGGTGCTTCTGTAGGTGGGTTCCGATCTCCGATGTAACCCGAGGGGTGCCTGTAATTGTTATGAGTCTATTCAATTGGGGACTTTCCCTTTTCTCTGATCTGTATACTGGAAGTTACAAGAATAATGGGCTTAATAAGAATTCATTTTATTTTCAGTGTAGTTGGAGGCCATATTTATCTATTTTAAAAAATCTGTTTCAAAGTTCATGTATTAGAGAACATTTTACAGAGACAGCTTGGATAAAAACAGTGCCAGTATTATGTGAACCTCATAAAACCTATGTTGTTAAACTTGCTACAACTTGATCTCATAGGTTTATTTTCAACTATCTTACCAGTTTCTTAAAACTGTCATCTCAGTAAGAGAAGATAACGTGTAGTCTGGCCTCTACACTAGAGAGGAACATGTTTGTTATAGAAAGTCAGGGCCGTGGTGCATTTTACTTGCCTCTGGATTGCTTGTGGACAACCAGACCAACAAATGGTCATCTTGTGTGCCTGTTTAAAAAAATAAAGCAATGTGAGATTCTAAAAGGCTTATCTCTGTTAGATGTCGGACTGAATATGAACTTCGAGATCAAGCTGCAAAGGGGGATGAAGCAGCTCGAAAACGATTCCATGCGTTTGTGCTCTTCCTGGGAGAACTTTATCTTAAGTTGGAGGTGAGGAGTTACTTTCTTTTGTTAAGTACCTGTGTTTAGTAAAGCTTGTGAACAAATTGATCTCCATAAGGAATTGTGTTTACGTTACTTTTACAACATAAAGAGGGAAATGGGAGAGAAATGACAACTCTGTGCCTATCTTCCTGTTCAAGGGCAGGTGCTGGGAAGTAATTCTGAGCATTGGAAAGTCTTCCCGTGCTTTTGGGAAGCCTCAGTGCTCCATGGGTGTCTGAGCGTTTAACATGTGTAGACATGGATTCTTCTTTGTGTTCCTGCTTCAGGGACGTTAGTACATGTGACATGTTGATATTCAGTTGGTGGCTGAAAAACAACTTGACCTACAGGACATAAAGGGAAGAGACTAGAGTTTGGTTTTTATACCCAATTTGCCCAGATTAGGTCTTGGTCCTGTTTTATATGTTAATCTTCCACATAAAATGCATTTGTACAAAGGGTACCGCTAAACTTGTTTGTAAATTGGTGGTATGTGAACATATGCTTGTTAGTAGGCAACTTCAATTGAGATAGTGCTTTGTAAAGGATATTCAATTTGTTCTTCGACTAGTTAGTCCTGACTAGTTAAGTCTCAGATGCAGGTTTATCTATGTAAGCCTGAAATTGGGGACTTAGCACCATAAACACTACTGAAAAGACGAGAATCCACCGTCAGGTGTGTGTCAGGGCATTCACAAGTCTACGGCCAATCCAGTGCCCATTTACTGCCCCTTTTTATCGCAGATGGCTTAGTTTTATAAAACTTCCACGTCTTAATCTTTTCTATTCTATGAGCCACAGGAGCACCAGTACAAACGTGCCTTCAGTGGAGAGCCATTTAAGATGGCTGTGCTCCTCCTCGGAAGTGCTGGTGCTGTGTGGGGGAGTGGGAAGGCCAGGCCTGGCCTTTGAGCCTGGAGTTCTCCCAGCCAGAGAGCCAAGACACGTAGGCCGTTCTCATGCAAAACGAGAGAATTTGTGAACAGTGTATGAACAGCAGATAAAATGCTGTGTGTTCCCCGCACACGGGGTAGGAAGCTTAGACTAGAGATGCTTCATGAAGCAGTAACATTCAAGGATGCTTACATTATCCAGACCACGCATTACATGTGATAAATGAAAAATTTGACCAATAATTGACTAATTTTATTAGAAATTTGTAATATGTAAGGTAAGTCTAATTTTGTGAAGATACAGAGTGTATCTCTAGGATTTTTGTATCGTTTTAATGTAAAGTGCTTATTTTGCCAACACTTTGTTAGGTCATTTATATCTGTGTTATGTTTTGGCATAGTTGCTGTTCATTTTCTTTTGTCCCCAAAGATCAAAGGAACAAATGGACAGGTTACAAGAGCAGATATTCTTCAGGCTGGTCTTCGGGAGTTGCTGAATGCCCTCTTTGCTAACCCTGTAGATGATAATCTAATTTGTGCAGTAAAATTATTAAAGGTAGGTTTTACTTAATTTCTTAAAGTGTAACTAACTGTTCTACCCCTTCAGCATATAATTTGGAGAGAGGAAAGTGTATATATAATACACAAATGAATTCAACATAGTTATTGCGTTAGATGTTGACATTTTGCTCTGGAATTTAAATATTAGAAAAGCAATACATGCTTCTTTAATGTAACACTTGGATTTTAAAAGTGAAAAATGGGATTTCTTCGCTATGCCCCTTCCTTTCCCATGGTCTGTAGGTTGTGCAGGAGGCAGCTGATCAATGTTTCTAACTCATCGATGTCTCTTCCTCTCCTTCTCCCTTCCTTTCTGTAAAAAATCAATAAAATATATTTAAAAGAGAGAAAGAAAGAAAAAAACAGAATGCTTGGGGTAGGGAAGAATGCTTGAAGTTCTGTTATAATTTTAGAATTTCAATACTTGAATTCTTTCTTTTATTGATCCCTGTGTCTTTTAGTTGACAGGGTCAGTGCTGGAAGATGCCTGGAAGGAAAAGGGAAAGACGGACATGGAAGAAGTTATCCAGAGGATTGAAAATGTCGTCCTGGATGCGCACTGCAGCAGGTAGGGGAAGGAGGTGGTCGCCAGGGAGCCTAGTCCTTGCTTTTCCTTTAATCAGCTGTGCTTCATCAGAACAATTGAAATCTTAAAAGATTCATCCACAGAAACCTCTTAAAGGCACAGTATTTCACTAGATGGCTTCTGCTCACGTGGCCATCTTTCCTCAGTTATTCAGTAAATGTCTAGGGGAAGTGCTATTCTCAGTCTAGTAAGAAACAGAAATGCTTGCAGGATGGCCACTGCATTAAAAACCATATAGTTAGTTACATGGAACAAATTTCAAGGCCTTTTTTTTTTTTAAGGGTAAATGGGTGGAATGGTGGTGGGGTCTGGTATCTTGGAGCCTGACTGCAGGGTGGGCACACTCACTCGCTCCTGTCCGCAGGGACGTGAAGCAGATGCTCTTGAAGCTTGTGGAGCTCCGGTCAAGTAACTGGGGTCGAGTCCACGTGACCTCGACATACAGAGAAGCAACACCCGAAAACGACCCCAACTATTTCATGGTATGCCAGTGTTTGCTGTTTAAATGTTGCTTATTGCTTGAATTCGACTTTGGAAATTTCTTCAAGTAACATAAAGCCATTCCCAGGATTTATTGTCTACTAAGTCCTCAGTGGCTTAGGGTCCCTGGCAGCAAGCAGAGCAGGTAAATAGAAGAGACATGGTTCCTCCCATGGCGGGTGGACTAGAGAAAGATCCACCCCGTGGCCAGGGAAATGATGAGACTTGGACTTAAGTGAATGTAGGGATTCCAGGAAACTGTTTTCCCAGGAAATTCATAACCAAGCCTGCAGCTCAAACTTTTACTTTGTATGTATGCTGTCATAAAGTAAACTAAGAAAATAAAAACGTTTGCCAGGCCAATGATCCTGGAAGCTCCCAACATGACCAAACACAGCAGTTATAGAGGAACTAAAGCCAGGTGCACAGATTTGTGTACTGGTAGGGTCCCTTGGCCTGGCCTGCGGGGATTGGGCCAAAACGAGCTCTCTGAAATTCCCTGAGGGGTTCTGGTTTGCTAGAGGGTGCAGGCAGGAAAAGGGACCTTAGCAGTGTACAATTGGAGCTGGAGAGGGACCACAGGAGGGCTCCAGGGCATGTCCAGCCCTTCTTGCCTAGTCCCAATCGGGGCCATCTGGCCAGGGAGGGACCATGGGAGGGCTCCAGGGTGTTTCTGGCCCATCTCACCCAATCCCCATCAGCTGGACCCCAGCAGCAAGCTAACCTGCCAAAGTTGGAGCATCTGCCCCCTGGTGGCCAGTGTGCATCATAGCAATTGGCCAAACAGTTGGACACTTAGCATATTACGTTTATTACATACGACTAGGGGCCCAGTGCACAAATTCGTGTACCTTGAAAGGAATTGTGGACCATAGTGGGCACAGTGGCTGCTGCCCTGATTGCCTCCCAGTAGCAAGGGGAAGGTAGAGAAGCCCTGAGGGGCGATCGGGGCTGGCAGCTGCTGCTTGCACCCACTGGTGGTGCTGAGCGATCAGGGCTGGTGCCGGGCACTGGCAGCAGGTGCGAGTGCGGCTGGCGCCGACATCAGGTGTGAGTGCCAGGCCAGGCCACGGAGTGCTGGAGCAAAGAATTTTCGGTAATCACCAAAGGCTTGCTGCAATGACAGCAACCAGCAACCCTCCTTGGTCTGGCGCCCCCACTTACCTGCTCCACCATCTAGCTTTGGGCGCCTGCCACATTCCACACCCTACCACCTGCTGCCAATGCCCACAATGTTCCGTGGATGCCCCCTGATGGTCAGCGCGTGTCATAGCAACCAGTTGTTTGGTTGGTCTGTTTCCACATGAGGGTTTTAGATACATAGATTGTTCCTACAACCCTCGTCTCAGAGAGAAAAATGGTGGGAAGGGGGAACCAAAACTAAATCTGAGTGGACGCCGAGTCATGCTGCACAGCAGAACAGTTCACTGTGAGTGACAGGCCATAGACTGTGAGAACCAGAACTCGAGATAATAGCATGAGTCTGGAGAGCAGAGACGTTTGCTTGTTCTTGTGTTGCATTATCGGGTGCAGCTGGGTGGCATCGGCCATGCTTCATTGATAATGAGCTTCTAAAGAATCGATTGTGAGAGGATGACATGTTTTTGTCACTTTGTTTCATCCTAGAATGAACCAACATTTTATACATCTGATGGTGTTCCTTTTACTGCAGCTGATCCAGGTATCTTGTCTTGCAGTCTTTCCCCCCCGGTCTTTGGTAAGATAGGAAAGTACAGAAAATCATCCCTTCACTAGCACTGAACTGTAGCTTTTCAGAGACATGCTAATTTTACAAGACACAAGGCAGGATATCAGCCCTTTGAATGGCCTGGGTTTGTGCAGAATGGATGAGTGAGGGGCGTGAATCCCATCTTCCTGCTTCAAAGGGCCCAATACCTTTCTTTCTGACCTGTGGGTTCTAAATCCAAGCCCCTCTGTACCACGTGGTCCACAGCCTCCCAGCTGCTCTAAGGATGTGGCTTTCAGTTCCCTCTCGTTTCTGTCATCGGGTGACTGATGATTTTTGTGAACTCTGTACACTTAAAAGAATGTTTCTTACCTGTTAGCTCAAGTATTTGTTGCAGGGAGGCTTTATAATTTAAAATGGTCTCCAAATTACCAAAATGGAATGCCAGAATATTGCCAGTCCTTTAAGCTGGAATTCATGTTTTTAGAAACTGACAATCTTGGGAAAAAACATCTTTACCCAGTCAAGTATAATTATATTATCCTTTTGAAATCTGAGGTAGCTGTTGTTCACAGGAAACTGCTTTTAAGGTAACTAATTCTAATACATATTGGTCCATTTTATTGTTCAAAGGTAAAGACTACACAGACATGCCAATCCTACAAGGTACTCAGGCGCTGTTCTTAGGCAGTTGGCAGGTGGAGAGCTATTCTGTCACCTGCATTGCCTCAGAAGGGCCCACTGAGGGACACAGGGTAGAGCTGAAACATTTATTAGGTAGCTGCCTCCCAGCTGTCTCTAGGACGGAGAAAAGAAGATGCTCGGAGGCCATGTTAGAGTGGCCTCCACTGACGGGAACATGGAAAAGTGGCTATTCCCTGCCAGCCAGCCAGACAGATCCTTTACCTCCTTGGGGAGGACAGCAAAGCCCAGAAGCCAGGATGTTTGATTGAAATCTCTCCTTGTGGAAGGAACATAGGAGAGAATGGAGAACACGTGTTCTTCCCCACCAACTAGAAAGCCAGTATTTTGTCTGATGGAAAGAAGCAGGAGAGACTGTAGAGAGCATACCCATAACCTATGAAATGTCCTCTGGTGTACGCACAGTTGGCTCTGATTTCCAACTTACATTTAGAGGAATATGTGTATAAATTAGAGTCATGAGGATGCAGGGGGCAGAAGCAAGCCAATTAGAATAGATTTTGTAAAAGCTATTAAATACGTAATTAAGCCAACTTGCTAGATGAATAAACATAGCCTACTGATGTTCAAACATTGGATCTACTTAAATGAAAAGTCAGGATGTTAAAATTTCTTAGGAAAAACTGGCTAATACATATTTCCTGTGAATTTTTCCAGCATTAAAATTTTTTCTTTATTTTCATTTTCCTCAGATTACCAAGAGAAATATCAAGAGTTACTTGAAAGAGAAGACCTTTTTGCAGATTATGAAGAAAATGGAACAGATTTATCAGGCGCTGGTGATCCGTAAGTTCTCTCTAGCTACTAACTTTATTTGTGAACTTTCTGTGGCCACAGCTTATAGAGTTTAGACTGGAAAAAAAGCAGATAATGAAAGAATGTGCCTTTTGATTAGGTGGTATTATAGTGGCATGTAAGTAGTACTTATTTACAAAAATTTTCCACATAATCATGTTGGAAAACACATGAACTATGATTTAAAAAAAAATACAAAACTATGATTTTTAAAATGAATCTATAGTTGAGTCCTGACAGGGAATTGAACCATGACCTCCAGTTCCTAGGTCAGAGCTCAATCACTGAGCCATACCAGCCAGGCTTACACATTTTCTTCATGGAAAAACATTAAGCTTAAGCGTCATCTTTGCTTCTTTCACAGGTACTTGGATGATCTTGATGATGAGATGGACCCAGAGATAGAAGAAGCTTATGAAAAGTTTTGTTTGGAATCAGAGCGTAAGCAAAAACAGTAAAGTTAAATTTCACCGTATCAGTTTTATAAAGCAGTTTAGGTTATGGTGACTTAGCAGAACACAGGAAAACAGGAAAATGTGTCACACTTATACCAAATTAAGGATGTTGAGTTATGTTACTAATGTATGCAACTTTAATTTTAACACTCTCTGCCAAAATAAACTTTATCCCCTATAACTTAAAATGTGTATATATATATAAGATAGTTTATTATGTACAGTTAATTCCACTGTTTTGGCTGCAATAAAATTGATTTTGAAATAAATGAAATGTTGAAAGTAAGTTTTGCTAGCTGATTAGAAGCTTATCCTTTAAATTCAGCTTTTCTTGAAGGAAAAAGTCTTAGTGTGGAAATACATAATACTGCAAAAATGTAGCATCCTTTTGAAAGATATGAGTATATAGCTTTCATTTAGTTTTACATTGAGTGTCTCAATGAATTGGGTTTCAAATATGAGTCACAATCATAAAAAATCTCTGGCACTAAAGTCTTAGAATATATAATTAATTTATTTACATATCCAGTTATTTGATACCAAGGGCTTTTAAAATAGAGTTAGAACTTCCAACTAAACAACCAAGATTCTTCACTGAGGATACATTGCAATTCTAAAATGTTCAAATTTTTCACCTGATTTCATTACCCCAAAGTCCAGGACATTATTCTACTTTATTTATATGGCTTTCTCATCTTTATTTGGTAGCATGAGTTGCATTGACTTTTTTACTAGAGAATTTTGCTAGATCTTTGTCACTCAAGTTTTCATCTGCTTTGTAATTGATATACCTTGAGGATCACTTTTCTAATACTTTTACTATAATGTGGTACCACCTCAGTCCTATTTTTACCTAATGTCAAAAATCTTTTTCCGACTAACGACAAGTAAAGCTTATGTACAAAAGGATTGCTTGTAAATATGCATGTAAATAGTTCTGTTAATAACCCACTGTTTCACATTTGGTACACCTGTGTCTGCTACTACAGTTAGCTTTCCCCCTTTTCTGCTTGTTTGTTCAGTCTGGATTAAAATTAGTCTTTGAAAATAAAATTGAAATAGTTTTGTTTTCTCTAAGTTTTTGGAGTGGTATCCTGGTATTTTAAAGAATCAGTTGTGAACTTTTTTATATGACATCATAAAATTATGATTTGAAATCAGAGAAACTACTAGGATAGCAGATTCTCTATTCAATGTCTTTTTAATAAGACTTCAGGTCAGTAACACATCTAGTTGGGAAAACTAGCAAATGTAAAACATTGAAACTTTTAGATTCTTCATTGCAAAAGGGAAATAGACAGGCTGGGGCGAAATTAGTAATACAAGAATGAGCTGTTTCACATACAACTGTGCACCTGTTTTTGCCCCACCCAGTACATGCAATTTGGGGGTTTTGGAAATTGTGATAGAAATCTTTTTTTCCAAATGGCTCCTATAACGTGGTGGCTGCTACCTTAATCTGCAGTGCTCTAAAGACTGCTCACTGTATATATAGCTCAGAGGCAGTGGAAGGCAATGTGGGGACGGGGCAGGACATTGGACCGGGGGCCAAGTATATGCTAACTGAAGCTTTAACCTTGTAGCATTTGCTCTGAGAATAACATCCAGTTTTGTCCGCTAGCTCATCATCATTACCCCTGCTCTACTAACAGCCTCCAACAGGGTCAGATATTAGTATGTTCCACTTACTGTTGCTGCTTTAAAAACCACCCAAACTTATGTTTTCATACAGTAAGCATTTTATTACGCTCATGGGTCCTGTGGCTCAGGAATTGGGACAGGGCACAGTAGGGGTGGCTTTTCTCTCTTCCACAATGTTTGAGGCTTCTGCTGGGAAAAGTAAGGACTCAGTGCTGTGACCCCCTGGCGTGCTCTTCACTCACGTGGCTGATGACTGGAGATGTTGCTAAGCCCAGGGTAGACAGGAGTCATCAAGGAAGGTGTGGCCATGTTTTAACACTGCAGCAGCACATACAGGAAACTTTGCTCCTGTGCTACAAGTGTTGGCCTTTATACTGCCATATCTACAGAAATACGGGTCAGTAAGTCTTTAGTCAGGATTATCCGTGCAATAATCGCCACAGTCTCCTGGCAATAAAGTACAAACACTGGTCTGAATCTGGTGGTCATGTAAACAACTCACACCCTCTGCTTGCAGTTCCCTTCAGCTAAACACTATCAGGAACACAGCTGTTCCTGCACATGCTGGATTCATGTAGTAAGGCAGAATGTCTACCATGGCGAATTGTGGGTTGTGTCACTAAGAGGAGTTAGAAATAACCTGTTATAGGATTTGGGTTTTGGCTGGATAATTTGGGAGAGAATCTAAGAAATGAGGTTTACTCTAGACCAGTGGTTCTCAACCTTTTTTTTTTTTTTTTTAATATACTTTATTGATTTTTTTACAGAGAGGAAGGGAGAGAGATAGAGAGCTAGAAACGTCCATGAGAGAGAAACATCGACCAGCTGCCTCTTGCACACCCCCCACTGGGGATGTGCCCGCAACCCAGGTACATGCCATTGACCGGAATTGAACCTGGGACCTTTCAGCTCTACCACTGAGCCAAACTGGTTTCAGCAGTTCTCAACCTTCTTAATGCCACGACCCTTTAATACAGTTCCTCATGTTGTAGTGACCCCCAACCATAAAAATATTTTCATTGCTACTTCATAACTGTAATTTTGCTACTGTTATGAATCGAAATGTAAATACCTGTGTTTTCCGATGGTCTTAAGCGACCCCTGTAAAAGGGTCATTCGACCGCCAAAGGGGTCGTGACCCACAGGTTGAAAACCGCTGCTCTAGATGTTATCAGAAAGCAATGACAATTCTATGATTGGATATTTTACTAAATCTTACTGGGAGACAGATAGGTATAGGTTAAAATGTAACTTGTTCCTTAAAAAAAATAGTCACATTTCGCAAGAGAGGAGGATGCTTTGCTTGGTATGAAAGTAAGAAGTCCAGGATTGAAGGACTGAAAATTGGCTCAAACTGAAGAAAAAAGTCCTGCTGTTAACCAGGCTGGGAGGACAGACAAAGAATTAGCAGAAAGTCATGCAACAACTATGAAATGTCATGACCCCTTCTCTCTTTGTGTGACTTCTGTTATGCTGACAATGACACCTTCAGGCTTATGTGCTGTCCTCACCCACCTATCCCCTGCAGTTGCTGAACTGCCCTCTCTCGTGAGAATACCCAGCCTCCGCTTAGTCCCGCTGCAGAAACAGCATCCAGCCTAGTCTCCCTCAGAGCTGCTCGGCATCCTTCAGCAGGAACCCAGACCTCACCCAAAAGTCGTGCTAATCAATCATGGCTTCTTCAGAGTGAGCCTTGTTTGCAAGTTTGTCAGTACCAAACTGCAGGCTTGAGCCTAGGGGTCTTTGGCTGACTACGTTAGCAGATGTAAATAATTTAAGGTCATGTACACTACCGCCATTTGCAACAGCCTGGCAAGACACCAAACCTGTATGAACCCTACACTGACTGCAGGCTGACAGCTGGACGTCATATTTCTGGTAGGTTTGTACCTCTGTTAACTCACAGTCCTGGGCTGTCAGCCCTGCCATTATCTTACTGTTCACGCCTCCTTTCAACCCTCTCCACTCGATCTGCCCCTGACTGATGACTTGCTTCACAGGAAAAAACAAAAACAAAAAATCATAAATACCTGGAACTGTTTTTAACTCCTACCCTTCCCCTCAAACACATTCAATCATTACCAAAATTATATAGTTTATCTAGATATTTCTTGGAGGTGTGATCTCCATTCTCACTGCCCAGTCTGAATTTTCATCTCTCTTGTTTTTCCAAAAGCGTTCTATTGGGTTCCCACATATGCTCTTGCATCCATCCTACAATCCATTCTTCACTCAGCAATTCCAGGAATATTTCTAAAGTACAAATATTTTTAAAGTTCAAACCCCTCGGCTGTAAACAATTTGTATATGGGAGGTCCTAAGATATTAGAAAGGGAAAAGGTGGGAGAGGGATGGGACCTAAGTTAACCCATGTAATACAAACCAGAGTCATAGACCAATGAAAACTGGGTTGTCTAAGGATGCCCTTGTACTTTACATAGGGCAGAGGTCAATTTGCATATCAGTCTTTTGAAAATGGAGATGAATTTAAGGAGTCAGATTTCTCATTCCTTTGCTCAAAGCCCCTACAATAGCTGACACCATTGCTTTTAAGATCAAGTCCACCATCCATAAAGTCATCCTGATCTTGCCCCCTCCCTATCTTGTAGCTCCATTTCAGGCTTATCAGCCCTGAAGGCCTCTCTTTTCTCTTTAATCACCCTTAATCCAAACTGGTGTTCCGGCCTCAGGGCCTTCACACAGGCTGTTACCTCAGCTGGGAACACTTCTCTATCTGGCTAATACGGAAAGGGTTAGCTAGCTAGGTAATTAGGCAGGTTTAAGAAGTTTTAGGAATTAAAAGGTGTCTGGGTGAAGGAATATCTAATGGAGACTTGAAGATGTCAGGGTGTTTTATCTTGTACATGGAATAGGCAAATAGAAATATAAACCAAAAGGCATCTCGGGCCTGAGCCATGAAAGTGACCATAAGTTAAGCCAAAAGCAGCCCTGACCTGAGTAGCTGGAGGGCCATGAGGCTTTCTCTGCCAACACAGCTGGGAGAGCTGGGAGATCAATCAACAGTGACTCCAGCCAACAAGATAAGAGGGAATTAGGGGACACCATGTGGGCTTTGAGCTTTGAAAACTAACTCTGTAGCACAATGTCCAGTAAGAAGGAAGAGGTCGAGTTCAGACTAAGAACTGCAGCCCATTGAATGCTTCAAGACAAACAGACTTAGGTTTTAGAGGTAGTGTCTGCTTGCAATTAAGTTTCTGTACTTTTTTCACCTAACACCTTGTGCCTGTGTCATCCTGCTTTGAAACCATCGAGACAAGAACCAGGAATTCAGGGCGTTCCAGGTCAATTTTCACGTTTCCATACCTACTTATCCTTTTGTATTTCAGTGGGAATACTTCCTCGGCCCAGGTTGGGTCTACCCATTATCTGCGGTCACAGACACCTCTGCGTTTTATTCCAGGAACACTTACCACAACTCCATCAAACTATTGTCTAGTCGTTTCCTTCCGCTTACTCTCTAGTTGCCATGCTGGACCCTGGGTCCTCCCCGCTCTCTCCCCAGTGCGCCCAGCACTAGCACGTCGCTGGGGATCCATGACTCTCATTTAGTGACAATACACCAACAGGCCAGGCCAGTGTCCTGGCTGCTCAGATGAAGGAGCAGATACACAACTGAGACAAGTTTCCTGACACCAGATTAGAAGAAAAGTGTCCGCCTTTGGCCAGGTTCTCCCCCAACAGCTTTTCTGAGGTGTAACTGTCGTTTAGGTTCCTTAAGTAAGCGTCCCTGCACTGACAACCCCCGCGCGGGGAGCTCCCCGGAACCTCACGACGCTCCAGACACAGGTTTCACCGCAGCCGGGCCGGACGGGTCCGTGTGGCGCACCGGAAGTAAGCCCGGAAGAGGCGGGGACCAGATTCCGGGCCGGGACCCTCTCCACCCTCGGCGCTTCCCCTACTTCCGGTTCCTCCCTTCTCCGAGCGCGGCAGGGGCGGGACTTCCGGCCTGGCTCGTCCCGTGGGGGCGGGAAGGTTTGAATCGCGCTTGTTGGCTTCTGTTTTCTCTCCGGGGCCTTCGCTATCGCTCCCCCTGCCCAGCTCCTCGGACCTGGGGCCTTATCGCCCTGCGGCCGTGATTGTTTTTCATCGAGCAGCTTCACGTGTTAAAATCCACAACAGTTTCCTCGGGAAGCGGCCGCGGGCAGGCGCAGACGCTGCGGTTCGTGCCCCTTGGCAAAGCCAGGCGCCAGGGCCGTTGATGGGCCTCGTTTCCACGGCTTCTCAGCTCAGCTGCTGTGAGTTCAAAACGCTGCTGCCTTGGTGAATTCCCATGGTAACTAGAGGAGGCAGTTTGGAAGAGGCAGGTTCCCCCGATGGCAGGAACGGGCTTACGGCTTTTTGATCGTTAAACAGACATAATGTGCTGCTGAGTGTTGAAAACAAACGGTAAGACGGTTGTGGCTGGAAATGTGGGCCGGGCGGATTTATGATGTGCCAGGAACTTTATACATTCTATTGTGTATTCTTTTTATTATTATTATTTTTAAATCACACCTCATTAAGCTGTTTATAAAAAATAAATAAATAACCAGGCTAAAAATAGAGACATTTTCCCAATTGTTATCAGAAAATCTTTTATTCCTTTTTTTATATGCATCTGTTTGTTTTTTGTATCCTGTTTCCTGAAATAGCAAGTAGACATCATAAATATATATATAGGGTGTGTCCCCCAAAAATGTATACACTCCTTAACAGCTGATAGCTCAATTTTGAAACCGAAATGTATTTTAACAAACACTGCCTTTATAATTATTCAAAGTGTTTGTGTACATTTTGGGGGGGCACCCTATATATGGCTATGAATATTGCCATTTAACAAGTATGTAAACAAGTGGTGTAAAGAGGTTGGTATGAGCTGGGTTGTGGAAAGTTACCTATGACAGCGATGCTAGAAATGGATTGGAGGGGAAGGAGCTGGAAAAAGGCCTCAGATGGTTGCAGGAATTGAGGGGAGAGTTAATGGCCGGAAGCAGAAGAGGAGGAACCAGGTTCATGAGAGACAAAATCAACAGGACTTGTTTTAAGAGTGTGGAAGGAAACAGAATGAGAAGTCAAATATTGCTAACATTGAGATACCATTAACTCAAATTGCACATTCAAGAAAAACAAGATTGCCCTGACCTATTTGGCTCAGTGGATAAGAGCATCGGCCTGTGGACTAAAAGGTCCCAGGTTCAATTCTGGTCAAGGGCATGTACCTTGGTTGCAGGCACATCCCCAGTAGGGGGTGTGCAGGAGGCAGCTGATGGGTGTTTTTTTCTCATCTATGTTTCTAACTCTCTATCCCTCTCCCTTCCTCTCTGTAAAAAATCAATAAAATACACTTAAAAAAAAAAAAAAAGAAAAGCAATTTTTAAAAAATTTACTTATTCATTCATCATTAAGTAAATCTTTGTTCCACCCTTATTATTGGCCAAGTATATATGCCAGGGGTACAAAATGTGAATAAAGCAAATGAAGTCTCTCTTCTGATGTAAGTTTACATCCAAGTGGGAAAAGAAAAAAAAAAATGAATAAGTACAATCAGTTCTGACAGTGATAGATGCCGTGAAGGAAGATTACATGGGTAAAAAGTGGCTGGGAGATGGTTGGGAGCAACTTTTATTGATCTTCTACGAAGTGCCATTCATAATACTAGGTACTATATCGTGTGTGTGTGTTGTGTCATTTATCCTCACAACAATCCTGTCCCTATCCCCATTTTACAAATAAGGAAACAGAGGACCTGACGCTTATAGCTAGTCAATGGTGGGTTTTAATGGAACTCATCTTCTGATTCCATTTCCATCATTCCTATACGGGAAGTATAGGGGAAGACACAGTCACTTTGGAAGTGGAGAGGAGGAAATCGAAACAAGTGAGACGAGGATGACGCTAAGACCCAGGAGGTTAATGAGCGTTTTCAGTAGTGACATGAGGATACTTCTTTAATGCTGGGCTAGGGACAAAAACCCAGGTATGTATGCTTTTCTTTTAGATCTAATCGTTACTTTTGGTCTGCCCTTTCCCTATATTACAAACGATTTGCTGTATTCTTATTGCAAAGGTGGAATTTGCTTGTTATTCGAAATGAGATACTAAATATAGAATTTTCTGAAATGGAACTTCAGGAGAAGAAGTAAAGCTACTAAAATTATACAGGCAGTTACAACTTGGTGGACTGTCTTCTACCTCTGTTATGTTTTCCCCCCTGGAGTAAAGCCTTAGGGGTTACTCCAGGCACTCTGTCAAGGATGCTAATCTCAAATCATTTACGTGTGTCCAGTAAGATCAATTTTTCTCCCACAAAAGTAGATGCAATGGCAGTGTGTTTTACTTACGTTCTTAGAAAATGCACCAGCTTATTGGGTAGAACTTGTGTACGTTTAGGAGAACTATTTGTGCCCCTGTTCCCTGTTCCCCTCAGTCTCTGCCTCGGAAGGAGATTTCATCCGCAGCCACAGTGATGGCGGCCGAAGTGCGGATGGTGCTTTACGAAGACGATTCCGTGCAAGTGCAGTATGCGGATGGCTCCAGGCTGCAGCTTTCTCCCTGTGGCTCTGAATTTTTATTTGAAAGGGCACCTCCTGTGTCAGCACATCCTTTAGAACAACCAGAAAGAATCCGTCAAAGGACTCACTTTGTTATTAGCACTTACCGAGTAAGTAAAGATGACGTCAACACTACTCTCAGTGCTGCTGAGGTGGACGGGATGTGGAGGTAATTGGGAGGCACGATTGCTTCATTCTAAATGGATTTTCAGTCATTTTTTAAGGTCACATTTGTATCTTTTTGTAGGAGCAACTACAGAGAGCCCTAGATTTTCGAAACTCTTTCGCCACTTGCCCTTTTTTATCTGAAAACATTATACCTCCTGAAAGAAAAAAGGTAATTTCCTAAAACTAATTTTTGTTAAGATTGGAGGACAAGCAATTAGAAATAGGTAGTTTAATATTTAGCCTTTTTTTTTTTTTTTTCATGACACTTGGGAATAGCCATGTTGCTGTAGAATGAATGCATAGTCACTTGGCATTCACTACACTGGAGTTCTCATGTTTTGCATACTGACTGAGACACAGAAGTTACATAATTCATTAGCCTGTCTTTTTCTTTGTAGCTAGAGAGTCTATGTAGAGCTTTTCAGGTTGGTGGCTTTTTCATTCTTGGAGGTGTGAAAATTAAGAAATTATGTGGATATTTTTAGTAGCTTATATATATTTGTTAATGTGTAATAGAGATATGCAATTACTTAGGGGTATGCAAATTTTATTCTTTTGCTTATTCTCTATTTTGAACTTTTAGGAATAACAATTATTATTATTTATTGAGAGTTTATTGTGTGCCATGAACTGGGAGTGAAATTTAAAATATTTGCCAGCACCAGTATGCCTTGGGTACCTGTTGATCAAAATGGGAGTCCTGCCGAAACTGGTTTGGCTCAGTGGATAGAGCTTCTGCCTGCGGACTGAAAGGTCCCAGGTTTGATTCCAGTCAAGGGCATGTACCTTTGTTGTGGGCACATCCCCAGTGGGGGTGTGCAGGAGGCAGCTGATCGATGTTTCTAACTCTCTATCCCTCTCCCTTCCTCTCTGTAAAAACTCAATAAAATATATTAAAAAAAAAAAAAAAATGGGAGTCCAGCCATTCAGAAAAGGTGTATTGGCTGGATACAGCTCCTTTAGATAGGAGCTAAGTCTCAGAGTTTCCCTTACTCATCCATAGAAAGTTTCTGAGTGGCAAAGTCAGGATTTGAACCCCGTATGTGTGTCTATTCACCGCTTTCTGCTACTATCATGGTGCTTGCCTGCCTGTTGAGTGGTTTCTATTACATTGTCTCATGACAAAGAGGTCCTGACAAACTGTAAACTGGACCTTGGTCTGCAAGGCTGTTTTCCCACTGTATCTTTTGAGTGACTGTTTATTGAAAATGGGTATCTTGCTGCTGATGCTGCACTTGAATTATCAGATAATCTAATTCTAGAAGATGGAACTTTTTGAACCATCATCCTTACAGATCAGCTTTGCCATCAATGAATAATGCCCTTAATTTTAGTGTACTGACATAGCACTATAAATTTAAGAGGCTTTCCGACAATGGTTTTTGTACATTTCAAGTTTTATATAAATGGAAGTTGAAATGTTAGCTGTTGGCAAGATTAACCAATTAAGAGACTTATTTGATACCTGTTATTTCTACCTTACATGAAAAGATGCATCAGGCACTGTTACTGTTACGAATCTGTTTGCTATTGATCAGCATCCATATTTACCTTTGAGTAATTCAGTTTTTAAAAAGGTTATTCTTGCCCAGCCCACATGGCTCAGTGGATGAGAATTAATCTATGAACCAAGAGGTCATGGTTCAATTCCCTATCAGGGCACAGGCCTGGGTTGTGGGCCTGATCCCCAGTGTGGGGCGTGCAATAGGCAGCTGATGGATGATTTACTCTCATCATTGTTGTTTCTATCTCTCCCTCTCCCTTCCTCCCTGAAATCAATAAAAAAAAAAATATATACACTGAGTGGCCAGATTATTATGATCTCTGAACACATAATAATCTGGCCACTCAGTGTATTTGTATCTCAAATGGGCACCAACAGTATTCTAGACTTTTGTCGGTGATCAACCACCTATCTGCCCAGAGCTTTTTATCAGCCAGTGCAAAGGGGAAAACTGATCAGTGCATGCTGTATAGTATCTTTGATATCAAATAAATGAGGTGCTCAAGAGAAGTACACTGAGTGGCCAGACTATTATGCGTTCAGAGATCATAATTATCTGGCCACTCAGTGTATATTTTAACAAATTCCTCTTTAAGTCACCTGGGATTTATTTTAGGGTCTGATGTTTCAGTTGCTGCCTAGGACGGGTACTTTAGTCCAGGTCATATCGCTTTGAGAGAACATTTCCAACTGCTGTTCAATCATTCAGTACCATTTATTAAATAACTCTCTCCTCCCCCTTGCTTTGAAACCTTATGTTGTCACATGTAAAATTTTATGAAATATTGAGTCTGTTTCTGTATTCTCTGGGTTGTCCTGTCAATGATTTTTATGCTAATTTCATATCAATTGCATTAATAATAGTGCATTATATTGCTATAGACATTGATAGCCTTTTTGAGAGTAGGATTTTGGGAGGGGCTCAAAATATAATTATCTGATTCATTGTACATTTAAAAAATATGTCTAACACTAGATATACTAGTAATCAGATGATTTTTTTCTTTTCTCGTATTTTTTCCTCTGTGTGTGTGTGTGTGTGTGTGTGTTTTATCTCTCTAAAGATAATCTTAATATCAAATATTCTCTGAAAAGCTATATATAAGCTGACACCTGGCTCTGTCTTTTTCATTCTGTCCAGGTAGTAAAACACAAAACTTTAAGAGCATTCTTACACAATATGTAGGTATCAGATGTATGGAAAATTTGGTCTGTTAACAGAAAATACCGACCATCTCTTTTCCCTCCCCCTCAACTCAGCGTATCCTCATCGACATCCCAGAAGTGAGATGGCCCAGTCTGGATACTGACGATGGCATGATATGCATGCAGAGCGGCGCCGTGAAAATACCATCTGTAGACGGTCATGCATACCTCTGTCTGCCCAAATCTCAGCAGGAATTTACAGTACATTTTTTGTGTAAAGTGAGCCAGAAGCCAGGCTCATCTGTAGTATTGTCAGAAAAAAATAATCAAGTCCCAAAAGAACAGGTAGGAAAAGCAGACAAAATCCATGCATATGGAAGTTTGCAAGGACAGAGACGGAAGAATAAAGAAAATGAACTTCACTGTCAGATGATGAAACCCAAAGAACCTTCAGAGGAGAAGCCGTGTGGAAACAGAACTGAGGGGAAGGAGGCGCTGCCTTCGCCTGGCCCCCAGCACAGCTGTGTCCATGCATGGGTGGAGCAGCGCTGGTCTGTGGCCTCCTGCCCAGAGGAATGGAAATACCCTCTGTCTTTAGCACTTCGCTTTTGTAATAAAGTCAGCAGTATGTCTGGAACTGATGGAAATATCGCCCAGAGCACAGTGTTAATGTCTGCTGCTCCAGAGGAAGGAGGAAAAGAGGTTTCTGTTCTTCCCCAGGCCCTGCTGCTCAGCTGCCCTGTCCCACACCTGCACAGGTAATGGGAGAATGACTGACTGTCCTCCTATAGGTAATTTGTCTTTCTAAAGCATCTGATACCAGTCATAAGGAAAGCTCATTCAGTTAATCCAAACCTTGTTTCAAACTGATTGTAAAGAATTTGCCTAGCAAATGTGTTCCTTGTTTCGTAACTCTGTTACGAAACATGGAATGAATGTTTATGGGAAGCTGACTGTACTAGATGCATTGTTAAGTACAGAGATGACTGAGACACAGTTCCTGCTTTCTAGAAGCTTAGAGGGTCACTGTCACTGAAAAGATTATTGTTCAAGTGTGGTAAGGGATGGCCCCGGGACCTACCCGGTCCCCTGTGGGAGCATCTGCTGCCACTCAGCGGAGCCTGTTACCATGGTTGCTGGAGTGTAGATCTGACAAGTTTATGATCATGGGTTCTTTCTTTCTCACTTGGCCGCTGAGGCCATCTCTGTCTTTGATTAACGCAAATATTGTCCATTGTCAAAGGGGTAGACATGGATGGCTAGGTAAAAACTTTTGGCCTCCACTAACAGATGAATAACCTAATGGTGATAGATTTGTAACAGGAACTTTGCGTAAGTAGTGCAAATCTACACTAATAAAAGAGAAAGATTGACCATACCTGCGCAACACCCCCCAGCCAATCAGGAGTGAGTATGCAGATTAACCCAACAAAGATTGTGGATTGGTTTGCACATGAAGGTGCCCAGGGGCTGGGACGGAAAGAAGTGGCTCTAGGGCTGGAGTGGAAAGGTGGTGCTGGCAGCCAGGGAAAGGAAGGCCCATTCTCGCATGAATCTTCATGCATCTAGCTTCTAGTAATAGCGAACACCAAGCACTCAGCATGTGCTAGGCATGGTGTTTCATCCCTATAGTAACCCCATGAGATAAGGACTATCTTGTATCATCCCATTTTGTGGAGGAACTTGAGACACAGAAATGGTAAATAACCTGAGCAAAGTCTTGCACTAGTACTTGCACAATTAGGGTCTGATCCCAGGTAGTCTCTAAGTGTATATCTGTTACTCAAATAAAATGTGGGAATAATTTTCAGGCATGTCATGATTATCTGCTTAAGATAGGGAAATTCAATATTATAAGTATGCATCAAAAGAGATTGATGCTTCTTAACAATTTTTCAATAGCTTGCCACTGGCTCTAGATTGAAATCCATTATCCTTAAACATGGCTTAACAGGCCTTGCATTTTCTGGGGTCCCTTCCCATATCTGTAGTCCTCCACTCGCTCACCACTCTACTCTTGCAGGCCCTGGAAAATTTGCTCAAGCTATCATTTGTGCTGCTCTGTCTTTTGGCAGGAACACTCCTGCTAACTGAAGTTCATGTCCTGGTCTCCGAGTAAGCCTTCCTTCCTGAGGATGGTTATCCCAAAGTTCTTAGACAGGATAAGGTTCTTACACAATCCCATTGTGTTCAGTAATTCCCCTTTCTTTATGTCAATATTTACTTTCTAGCATCTCAGTGACCATGTTCGCTTTTTTTGGGTGTTCTAGCCCCAGTGTATTTACAGTGCCTGACCCACCTTAGAAATTTAGTAAATATTTGTTGTTCAAATCCTAAATTCTAGAGATTACTAAAATAGCCAAAACCGGTTTTGCTCAGTGGGTAGAGCGTTGGCCTGCAGACTGAAAGGTCCCAGGTTCGATTTGGTCCAGGGCATGTGCCTTGGTTGTGGGCACAACTCCAGTAAGGGGTGTGCAAGAGCAGCTGATGGGTGATTCTCTCTCATTGATGTTTTTAACTCTCTGTCCCTCTCTCTTTCTCTCTGTAAAAAATCAATAAAATATATATAATTTTTTTAAAAGACTTTAAAGATTACTAAAATAGTTAATTTAAGTAATTCTGGTAAGATTCAATAGTGAGATTATTGAAAATGCATGGAAAATAAGACTCGTTTTAAAATGTAATGTACTTTCATATTTTTACTTCTTTGATCTAATAATTAAGCAAGGAATAAATCTTATTACAGTCACACTATTTTGTTGACTTCTCAAGGTAATTTTGTTGAGCAGCCAGAATCCATAACTTGTATTTTGTCCTTCACAGGTGGACTTTCTGTGACTCACTTTCACAGGGGCAGGCTGATGAAGAGGAATATTCCTACTCTGAACTAGTGAAAGTGGTTTGGTACAAGGGTGTTACGTACAGGTAAGGCACCTGTGTTGGAGTTGGAGCTATGTAGTGATGGTACAGGGGAGGGACTAGCCTTGCAGATAAACTATGAGAGAATGCAGTTTGCAGGGCCACCATGCTCCTGTGCTTGGTCCTGAGGTTTCAAGTCTCAACGCCCTAATTATATTCGGACACACAGAGGTCTTGTTCCTAATTCACATTAATCGTATTTGCAAGATTTTTGTGACAGCTCCAAAGCCAGTGAGGGATTATTCTGCTAGTGAATGAGATACGCATGGCAGCTATTTAAGCCACGCCTTCCAAACATGGGGGATCTAGTTGTCTGAAATAGTCACATCAGAAGGTGTCTGGTGAGCATAGAATAGAGATGTTAGATTCCTAAGGGAGATTTTAGCTACATTCACTCAGCAGATACTCACTGAGCAGCTGCCCTGTGCTGCACAATCCCATTGAATAACCCTACCTCTCCGGGGCCTGGAACACTAGTGCTGGCCAGAGGAGAGGTTCCCTCTGTACAGTGCTGACCAGCTCTGCCAGCTGTTTGTTCTCGGGCTCTCCTTTTCCTGCACGAGGACCCGCTCGTTACTGACAACATACTGGTATTTTCCATCATGTTTCAATAAAATTGACCTGGCTTATATCTTTATTCCTTATATACCCAATACCTTGATTGTCCAGTGAGTCACCTTCTCTTTGGGATAGCTCCTTCTACACATGGCTAATCTCATCATCAGGTATTGATTCTGCTAGTTTTATTATTAAAGAGTAATCTCATTTTCAGGTTCTAGAGTTGTTATATTTAACTCCTGTACAATGAGCACTGCTTCTGTGACCATTATAGACTAGCCACCGTGATTGGCTGGCGGGGATACTAGGGTAATAAGGCAAGATGCCTCACTTCTAGAAGCTGAGCTTATTACTGAAGTAGATAGACCCACCAATTCTGGGTGTTCTTTTCTTCTTTTTTTTTGCCAACAAGAAAATAATTTAGCTGGCTGGAGAAACAGTATGAAATTATCCATTTGCTAGATAGGTTAAAAAATTATACTACTTTGCCTTTTTTTTTTTTTGATAAATGACCATGTATGTTTTGTGTTTTTTTTTAAAAATATATTTTATTGATTTTTTACAGAGAGGAAGAGAGAGGGATAGAGAGTTAGAAACATCGATCAGCTGCCTCTTGCACACTGGGGATGTGCCCGCAACCAAGGCACATGCCCTTGACCGGAATTGAACCCTGGACTCTTCAGTCCACAGGCCGACGCTCTATCCACTGAACCAAACCGGTTTCGGCTGACCAGGTATGTTTTAAACTCTATAGAAAAATACTTTTTAAATGATTATTTATTTTCCATAGACTTACTCATAAAAATGTGAACTCAATAGAGATTTATCCTGGAGATGGATCTGTTTTCAAATCAGAAGGAGCTTACTTTGGGAACTATTTTACATACTATTCCATTCCAGAAGGATCAGAAGAGGTAGGCGGACAATGATACTTCCACTCAAAATTTTTGGTCTATAGCTGTTTCTAAATAATTGTGAATATATTTGGGAAATTTGATCTCTGTATAACATTGCTTGCTACTACTTAGTCAGAACAATCAGTGTAACCTTACTGCCAGAATATGGCACAATAACTATTAACCACCTTGTCCTTACTGTACTATCATCCTGTATTCTGTCTTCCATTTACCTAAGCAATTATGTTTAAATCAGAAGTTACATTTCTTCTGTCATAGAATGTATCAATAGAAAATACTAAAACTGGCAGTATTACTTTGAATCAATATACTTCTTTGAATTAATATTTGCCAATTAAAAAGCACATTCTTTTTTCCCTAGTGTGTATTATTTGCATATTTTAAATACTCCTTAACTCCTAAATCTTTATATTCAACTAAAAAGTTGAACAAGATTGTTTCCTTGTGTTGAAAATAGTGAAGCATAACATATTTAACAGATCAGATCAAAATGTAATAATGTGGATATTTTGTTAATAACTCTTAATTTGATACGTTTAAAGGTATCACCACAGTATCATGTGGCTTTGGTTTGCAGGATGAAATACAATAAAAGTGTTGTCTTTATTACAGAGTAGAGCATGTAAGTGATGAAATTATCAGAGATGCTAGACCCGGGGGCAAGTGTGGAATATTGAAATAAATTAAAGTGCTGTTGTTCAGTAGTTGGAACAGAAATAGAAATTGGGGTTGGATTTTTTTGGTCTAAAAGGAAAAGCTTAAGTGATATTTCCTGCTAATATGTAGGAAAATTTGTTTGTAACCACGTTCATTTTTTAAAATATATTTTTATTGATTTCAGAGAGGAAGGAAGAAGGAAAGATAGGAACATCAATGATGAGAATCATTGCTCACAGATCCCCTACTGGGGATCAAGCCTGCAACCCGGGCATGTGCCCCGACTGGAAATTGAACCATGATCTCCTGGTTCATATGTTGACACTCAAGCTCTGAGCCACACCAGCTGAGCTTGTAATCATGTTAGTTCAAGTGTGCCAAGATTTGGACAGCAAGTTATAGGCTATGATAATATAACTTTTGAATAGAGAGGGAAAATGGGAAAATGGAAAAGCATCATGAAATACCTTTAGAATATACCTTTTATGACCTTTAAGTTAAAATAACTGCTTCCTACCGAAACCGGTTTGGCTCAGTGGATAGACCGTTGGGCTGCGGACTGAAAGGTCCTAGGTTCAATTCCGATCAAGGGCATGTACCTTGGTTGTGGGCACATCCCCAGTAGGGGGTGTGCAAGAGGCACTGATCAATGATTCTCTCTCATAGATGTTTCTAACTCTCTATCCCTCTCTCTTCTTCTCTGTAAAAAATCAATAAAATAAAATTTTAAAAAATAAAATAACTGCTTTCTTTGTCATTATGTAAATATGTAAATACAAAATAGCTAATTAATAATGGCCAATGTTTATTATTAATGAGATTTTTCATTTTAAACTGATTTTCAGAGGGAAGAGAAAATGTATTCAGTAAATAATCTTCCTCCAGAGAGACCAGGAAGTCTGTTTTCTGTGTGTTCTCTAATTAAACAGGCCACCAGGTAAGTCCTTCACATTCAACTGAATCAAGGGTTATGTCTGAGCCCTCGCCGGTTTGGCTCCGTGGATAGAATCTCGGTCTGCCAACTAAAGGTCCCGGGTTCGATTCTGGTCAAGGGCACATGCCTGGGTGTGGGCTTGATCCCCAGTGGGGGGCTTGCAGGAGGTAGCTGATCAATAATTCTCTCTCATCATTGATGTTTCTATCTTCCTCTTTCTTCCTCTCTGAAATAAATTTAAAAAAAAATTTTTTTTTTTAAAGAGTTATGCCTGAGAACCTTGATACCTTTTATCATGGTTAAGATAAGATTAAGAATTTGTAATTAGCTCTAGCCAGTTTGGCTCAGTGGATAGAGCGTCAACCTGCAGACTCAAGGGTCCCAGGTTCAATTCCGATCAAGGGCATGTACCTTGGTTGTGGGCACATACCGTAGGGAGTGTGTAGGAGGCAGCTGATTGATGTTTCTAACTCTCTATCCTCTCTTCCTCTCTGTAAAAAATCAATAAAATAGATTTTTTTTAAAAAGAATTTGTAATTAAAAGAGTACTTCCATCTTTGAAACGTAAAATGAAGTATGGAGAAACATTTATATGTGGCAAGCAAGTGCTGGAAGTACTTCCTGGGTAAATTTTACATCATTATTGCTCCCTGGAATCAAGTTGAGGAGTTGATGATACATTTAAAAATTTTATACTTCTTTATTATCTTGAGTAATAAAGATTTCTGAATGTGTACAGAAGAGAAGTATTGTTTGGTTCTTTGATTCATATGCTTTTTAATTCTAGTTAATTAATGTGTAGCATTCAGAAGAATGAAAGTGAATTGTTGGATTAAATTATTTATTTGTATAAACTATGTCTAAGCCAGTTCCAACGTAGATTTGAAGGAGCAGATCGGTTTGATTTCCAAGGGCAGTTTATTTACAACCCACCACTCTCAGACTATGCTAACCCTTTTAGGCACTGTCAACCTATCACCTCATAAAAAAGAGCAACTGAAAATTCTATTTGGAGTCATTTCATTGCTACACATTCGAGAAATAACTTTAGGTAAGATTAGCCAAAGGGCCCTAACCAGTTTGGCTCAGTGGATAGAGTGTCCGCCTGCGGACTGAAGGGTCCCAGGTTCAATTCCAGGCTAGGGCATGTACAGGAGTGGATGTGCAGGAAGCAGCTGATCGATGTCTCTCTCTCATCTGACGTTTCTAACTTTCTATCCTTCCCCCTTCTTCTCTGTAAAAAATCAATTATATATATATAAAGAGCTTAACATTTATTTTTTTAAAAATTAGCCAAAGGGAAACAGTAATAGTTCCCTTCTAAAGGCTTATTATTTTCTGGAAGGAAATGGGTCTGAACATATATCAATGGAAATGAACTTCTTGACTGAGATGTCACACAGAAGTTAGAATGGTTGCTAGAACTGGAAAATGCCACAATCTGCAATTTGCAAATGTTTACGTTGTGTATTTCATGTTCACAGGATTCTTCACCACTGCGCCAAGATGAGGCTCTCTTTAAGCCATAACTATCGTATATGCTGCTGGAAAATGGTATCTTAAAATTCTTTTCAAAGCAAGATAATTTTGTTTTTATTGTCTATATTTCTAAATTCAAATTACTTTCATCTAAATCATGTAAGAAATTCTTTGTAACATTAATATTGATTTATTCAGAACAATATCCACTTAATCGCTGCAAAATGAGGCTTTTATTTATATTTTATTGTATATAATTTGGTTTTGCTTCTTCTTTTAAATGGAATGGGAAGGCCATAGGAATTAGTTGGATTTGTATGTAAAAACATAGTTATTGTAAACACTGCAGTCTTTTGCTCTCTTTCCATGCTGTAAGTACATTCTTTAATGCTGACTTGGAGAAGTTATTCTCAGACTTTGATTTCTGCATCTATACTAATTTGGTTTTAAGTTTATATGTCGCTGTAGTTCCTAAGTCTTGTCTGTGTTCTGTGTAAAGTTCAGAGCAAATGGTGGTTTAATCTGCTTGTAGTAGACTGTTGTGGGCATCCACTTGTGGAAGAGTTAAACATACATAAGGATTCTGCAATATTCAGCTTCTGTATAGAATCTGAAAGTTGCCTTCGAGTTCATTAACCACTTAAATCTTATAAATGGATAACTCTACTTCCTGCTATTTTTACTTACTTGGTTTTAGGCACCTGGGATAAATGAGAATATGCTGCCTTTGCTTTTGAAAGAATCATTCATACCCAATGTGGGAAGATTTCTTGCTTATTCTGATGACAAAGTACATACCATCTTTATAGATGGCATTACTCTAACCCTAAATTGGAAATTTGGCTCTTTTAATGGAAAAAGACAGGTGAGTATACTTCAGACTAAAATCTATTTTGTATTGTTTTTTGTTTTATCTATGGAAATACTGTGGCACTTTTTTTGTTGTCCTTATGTCTCAATTTCTTTTTTTTAATCCTCATCCAAGGACATGGAGAGAGAGAGAGAGAGAGAGATAGAGAGAGATATCAAATCTATGTATCTATACTATATTGGTTATAAATTTATATGTTGCCTTTAACATGTGCCTGACCGGGAATCAAATCAACAACCCTTTGGTGTATGGATGACGCTCAACCAACTGAGCCACCCAGCCAGGTCAATTTGTTTTTGAAGTATGACATTTTTCAAAAGGCTTTATTGATCTCATTAGATTTCCTAAAAAAATCAAATAGGTGTGGCAAATATTTATTTTTATAAAGTAACTCTACAGAGAGAAGGACTAGTATTTTTTAAATTGCTAAGTTAGAAGAGGATTTTGTTTGGGTTTTGGGGTGATTTTGTATTGTTGTTTTTTTAGTTTTAGAATGATAAAACTTAACTTTCCTCCATGTTTCTTAAGATAAATCAAGGCCTCAACTTAGGTTGGTGTAAGTTAACTTTTCCTGATGGACACGATCAGTTAATTCAGATTGAACACCCCGGACAATATAAAAGGTACTGAAAAGCAATGTAAAAATTATTTTCTTTTTAGTAAAAATCTTTTAATTGATAGAGTGGAAACATAAACAATATCTACTTATTTTGTTCTAGTTTTTACATGTAGATGTGAATAAAGTTATTTCAACAGGTTTCAGAGTTTACTGTTATATTGGCATCTATAATAACAAAAAAGATGAAGTCAGCTTTATTCATTTCCATTTGTATTTGAAGTGATTTTTCACCATAATGAATATGTTAGATCTAACTGGCTTGCTGAAGAAGTTATTGTCAGATGTGTTAACCTATTAATCCCCTAACCAATTTGAAATAAGGTTTGCAACCACAAATAACTAAATTTCTGTATATTACTATAAAGCAGAAAAAATTAATGATTATTTTTAAAATGGAGATTCTTGAATCAGCTTTTCATGACTGCTTTCTTTTAGTTTAGTAATATATTTTGTAATAATTGTACTTGTGTTGTTCTTAACATTTTAGGATTTTACTTTAAAAATTAGAATGTTCATAAAAGAATTGATTTGTTTTATCTCAAATTTATTTTTCTGTGAGCTTTATTGCATTTTGGTCTAAATGCTCCAATACTCATTGCTAGTTTGAATAATTTGCCTCAAAAAAAACAGTGTGCATTTAGCAAACATTGTTGTTTGTTTTATCCAGTCACTTCAGAATAATCATTTTATTAAACTTGATACTTGTTTTGCATATTCGGTGAGTTAATATGTAATTAATGGGTGTAATTAATGGTGTTTTCTAGTTTAAATTTTAAAAAGCAGATGTTCACTTAGTCATGTACATGTAAACACATGTACATGATAAATTTAATGAAATTCATTTATTTTGAAAAACTAAAAGGAGAATTTAGACATTTGAATTTGAACTTTGTTCTGACTCTTAAATCTCATCATTATTAATCATGAATGTGAGTAAATAATTTTCTCCTTGATAAATAATGAAAAAAACTGCCTTATTTTCAATGGAGCCCTAGCTTGTTTGGCTCAGTGGATAGAGCATTGACCTGTGGACTGATGGCTCCTGGGTTCGATTCCAGTCAAAGATACATGCCCAGGTTGCGGGCTTGATCCACAGGGGCCTGCAGAAGGTTTTCTCTCATTATTGATGTTTTCCTCTCTCTCTCTCTCCCTCTCCCTTCCTCTCTGAAATCAATAAAAAAAGATTTTTTAAAAAGAAGATTCAGAGAATTTCTCAGTAAATGCTTTACTTTAAAATATTCTCTTTACCCTTTTTCCCAAATTGTTTTGATTTTTCAATCATTTTTCAAATTTTTATAAATAGAATGCAAGTTCATTTTTCAAATATTTCTTTTAATGTATTTAATCTAGATATGTGTCAACAGTAATATCATGGTGCAGAAGACTGACCCAGACCAGTCAGAGAGAGATGCCCATACATCCTTCATCTTCTGTTCTTGAAGAAAATTGGTATTTGCATTTCTTTTAAATTTAATCTGTAGAAGAGCCCACTAATACTCAAAATTAAAATGTCAAATGGAAGGGGAGGAAAGGAAGGGAAATAAAACTTATTTCTCTGTTTGATTAAAAAATAAATGTGGGGAGAAAGAAGTCAAATGGTAAGCTCTAAGACTTTTTCCCCAAGAAGATCTTATCTTAATTAAATATATTTAACTCTGTTTTTGATAGTTTAAGATTAAAATAATTTTTCTTTAATCAGGTATCTAATTTATTAGGTTTTTCTTTTTAAAATTTTAACCTTTGTAAAAACAATCAAGTATGCTTATTTGAAATATTAGAGGCCCAGTGTACGAAATTCATGCACTGGATTGGTGGGGGGAATCCCCTCAGCCCGGCCTGCACCCTCTTACAACCCAGGACCCCTCAGGGGATGTCTGCCTGGGGAATCGGGCCTAAGCTGGCAGTCAGACATGCCTCTCACTCCTTAGTGCTGCCACAGAGTTGGGAGAGTTTCCCGCCACCACTTTTGCACTTGCCAGCTGTGAGCCTGACTTCTGGCCAAGCAGTGCTCCCCCTGTGGGAGCGCACTGACCACCAAGGGGCAGCTCCTGCATTGAGCGCCTGCCCCCTGGTGGTCAGTGCACATCATAGTGACAGGTTGTCCCACTGGTTGTTCTGCAGTTCAGTTGATTTGCATATTAGGGTTTTATTATATAGGATTATGTATAAAAAAGAATCAGATAACTAGTATGAACTTACTTTTCTCCACAGGTGTGTAGCTTCTGAACTTGAAAAGATACAGAAGTTTAACTGTATCCTTTAAACATAATGTATTGTCCTGCACAATTACTCCCTTTCCATTTTAGGTTTAATTCATAACCCTATAGTTTATATTAATCCACACATATATTGTGGAGCTTCAGTGAATACTAAAGATATTTGAGAAGTAGCTTGTCTGTAGAAGGTACATGGTATTGAAGACTTTTGCATGTTCATCGGTGATATTGACAAGTATTTTTGTTTTCTTGTAGTGTGGTTGTTAGCGTAATGCTGGCTTTATACTTTGAAAATATTTTTTGAAATAGTTTGAGAAGGATTGGTATTAATTCTTCCTTAAATATTTGGTATAATTAACCATTATTTGATTTGCGGCTCTTGTTTGTTGGGAGGTTTTGGTTCCTGATTCAATCCCCTTCTTCTTACTAATATTCCATCTATTCAGGCTTTGTTTGATTCAGTCTTGGTAGAGTGTGTTTTTGGAAATTTCTTCTAGATTGTCCAATCTATTGGTATATACTTATAGTAGTCTCTTATGATCCTTTGTATTGTGTTGTACCCGTTGTCATTTCCTCTTTCATTTCTAATTTTATCTGACTTCTCTTTTTTTAAAAAAAAATATATTTTATTGATTTTACACCGAGAGGAATTGAGAGGGACGAAGTTAGAAATGTCGATGAGAGAGAAACATCAACCAGCTGCCTCTTGCACACCCCCCACTGGGGATGTGCCCACAACCAAGGTACATGCCCCTGACCGTAATCGAACCCGGGACCATTCAGTCCGCAGGCCGATGCTCTATCCACTGAGCCAAACTGGTCCCAGCTGACTTCTCTTTTGTTCTTGGGTAAATTTAGCTTCAAGTTTTACTGCGATTTTTATTTCCTCCTTTTCACCAAACCTCCATCCAAACACACCTACATACTCTTTCCTTTTCCCTTTACTCTGCTTTCTTCATCTATAAGGAATAGACTTGATAATTTCTGAAGTACCAACTCTATTATGTATCCAAAAGATCTTCCTCTCAATGGAGAAATCCTGTTTTAATATGAAGTCAGACTTTCTGCCATTAAAAACACTTGTATAATGAAAAATGTGGGAAAAACTCCTTGACTAAGCAACTTAGTGTTACTGGAAAACAGTGGTGTCCTAAACCAGATTTCTAACAAGAAAAATGAACAGTCTTTTGATTGTAAACCAAACTACTCAGAAACCTTGCTAGAAGAAGTTAATGAAAAGAGAGTATCAGTGGCATTAAAAAGAACCTCTGAAATTATTCAGGATATTGATTGTCTTCTATCAAGCTCTAAAAAGTGAAAAATGAAATTATTACAATATATTATTAAATTGTAAGGATGTTTCAAATCACTGGTATAAAATTACTAGATAACAAAAGAATTGTATATATGACTTCTGTATAATAAGCTGAGACATGACATTTAACTTTGGATGTATTTTACCTAACATGTAAATTTAAAATGTTCATTTATAAAATGTTTTATTAATAAAGAATTATTTTGAAATTTTGAACTGGTATTTCATGTTTATGAGAAAAAAGTTTATAAACATACAGCTTTATCTTGTGAAGCACTGACTATTAATCAAGGATTTTTTTTTAAATGCAGTATTGTGTGTGTACATTTGTCATTTGCTATTTAGTTTCTTTATTCCAAACATTTTTTTCAGTTGAACTATGAGAAGGGAATTAGATCTTAAAAAAAGAAAAGTAGGTGATATTGCTCCAGGCCACTGGCCTAGACAACAGTAAGAAATGCATCATGCTAAATTGGTACTGTATTCAGAAAGAAAAAACTTACCACCGTGACTCAAAGCACTCATTATTGTGTTAATGTGTTTGATATTTCAAATTAGCTTTTATGCTGTGTGGATAAAATGTGTAATTTTCCTTCTAAGTTGACTTTTAAACCTTTAGCTAAGAACCAACAATATGATAAGCAAAGGACAGTTCTATATCTGAGATACTGAGCCACACTTTAAGATTCTGTGGGAGGCCTATGAATTTGCTCAAGATTGAAGATTCTATGGTCCCTTTCAACGATCCTGTATAATGAGGTAATATAAAAATGACTGTCACAGCCTTGCACAAGATTGCCAGCAGGGGAGGGTAGTTAGGGGTGACTGGGCCCGCAAGGAAGGGCAGTAGGGGAGGACCAGGCCAGCAGGGGAGGGTAGTTGGGGGTGATCAGGCTGGCAGGGGAAGGCAGTTGGGAGCCAGCAGTCCTGGATTGTGAGAGGGATGTCTGACTGCTGGTTTAGGAATCAGGCCTAAACTAAGATGACTAGATGTCCCAATTTTTAACAATTTGTCCCATGTCCTGCGGCATTTTAAAAAAGTCCAAAAGATTTAAAAGAATCTTTCAAAAAATCTGGACTTTTTTAAAACACCACAGGACAGATTGTTAAAAATCAGGACTGTCCCGCCAAAAGCAGGACTTCTGGTCATCTTAACCTAAACTGGCTGTCGGACATCCCCAGAAGGGTCCCAGGTTAGAGAGTGCAGGCTGGGCTGAGGGACACCCCTTTCCCCCAGTGCACAAATTTCATGCATCTGGCCTCTAGCATGAGTATAATCCCCCTGCTGCCCTTTCTTTCCATCTGACAGCTGTTTTGAGCAATGCAGGAAGAAGGAAAAGGAACTGTTCCTATTTGAACCTCTGTTCGGGCCAGTACTTTCCAGAGCCAAATGTCTCGCTATGCGTTCTTGGTGCTAAGAGAGAGCCCTTGGAGGCAAGGAGACGGGCGTGTCCCAGTCCACAAGCTGCATCTTGTCCGCCTCGTTAACTGGGGTCCAGCTAACCCAGTGGCGGTCACTTTCCCAAAGGAGCATCCAGCCGCGCTGTCCACAGGAAAGAGCAGCGGCGAGGAGTCATCCTCCACACGTCCCCCAGGGGGCGCTGCAGCGCCGCGGGGAGCGGGGGCGCCGGGTCCCTCAGGGCCATCGCAGGAGAGAGGCACACTTCTCCGCCTCCGTCTGGCACCAGGCTCGCGCCTCCCACGTTGATGGCTAAGCCGAAGAGGAACCCAGGTCACTGGTCACTTCTCACCGCGCCGTCCTGCAGGTCTCCTAGGGCAAGGTGACCGGCGTCCCGCTTTTTAACAATGTGTCCCGCGGCGCCCTAAAAAAGCCCCGATTTCCCCCCAAAAAATCGGGACATTTTAAGACGCCGTGGATGCGGGACAAATTATTAAAAATCGGAACGTCCGCTGAAACCGGTGTGGCTCAGTGGCTAGAGCGTCGGTCTGCGGACTGAAAGGTCCCGGGTTCGATTCCGGTCAAGGGCATGTACCTTGGTTGCGGGCACATCCCCAGTGGGGGGTGTGCAAGAGGCAGCTGATCGATGTTTCTAACTCTCTATCCCTCTCTCTTCTTCTCTGTAAAAAAATCAATAAAATATATTTTTAGAAAAAATAAAAAATCGAGCCGAAACCGGTTTGGCTCAGTGGATAGAGCGTCGGCTTGGGGACTGAAGGGTCCCGGGTTCGATTCCGGTCAGGGGCATGGACCTTGGTTGTGGGCACATCCCCAGGAGGGGGTGTGCAAGAGGCAGCTGATCGATGACACACTCTCATCGATGTTTCTAACTATCTCTCTCCCTTCCTCTCTGTACAAAATCAATAAAATATAGATATTTTTAAATAAAAAATCGGGACGTCCTGCCACCTTATTCTAGGGGGGGGGGGCAGGACGGGCCAGAACTCCAGGTGCCCAGTCCTCCACCGGAGAGCATCCGGACCGCGGCTCCCGCCGGCCCAGATTGGCGCCCTATCCCGGCGTGCATCTCGGCGGCGCGCGGGCAGGAGCCGCTCCGGCCGCGCCGGCGTCTCTATGGTCCCGGCGGGGGCGGGGCGGGGCTTCCACTGATGCGGCGGCGGCGGCGGCTTCAGCCGGGAGAGCGGGGTGGGTGCGGCGGGGGCCGGGGCGCGGGCGCGGGGGGCGCTGCGGAAGGAGCTCCGTCCTCCGGCGGGAGGCCCGGGGCGGGGACCGCCTGAGCCCGGAGCGTGGGCGGTCCAGGTTGCAGATGGGGAGGGCGTGCGGGGCGGCCGGGCCGGGACCTGCGCGAGGCGCCCTCCGGCTTCGCGGCCCCTTCCCGGTCCCCCCGGAGCCCAGCCGCTCCCGGCGGCCCCTGGCCCGGGGCGGGGCGCCGGGCCCGGGTCTGAGGGCGCTGCCCGTCGCCGTCGGTACCCGGCGGCAGAGCCCCCCGCGGCCGGGAAGGCGACGAGTGTGACCCGGCCGCTTCCCTGCGGACGCCGGGCTTCCCGGCTCCTGCCCTGTTTCTCAGCCCACACGCCAGCCAGGCCGCCTCGCACCCGCCTGGTGGAAGCGTGGCTTTGGGGATTCGCAAGTTGGAACGTGGGGTTGTGTGTTTTATTCGTAATGGTCATAGGCTCCAAACATGGCACACGCGGGCTGGGCAAGTTCCCGGGCGAGGGAGCGCGACGTGCGCCTCCCTTGCTCTGCCAGGGAGCCGCGGTAGGCGTGGCGGCTCTCCTGGGTGTTGTCGCAGTAAAGGAATAGAAGCCTCGCAGCAACTCGGACGTATTTGTAAAGCATAATAAAGACAGTGTTCCCAGGTTAGAGTGTGCTTTTACTGGGGCTTTTGGAAACGTGATTGGGGAGAAGAGGGTGAAGTGGAAGATGATATTTACATTGGGAATGTGTTAGCTCTGATTTGTTGTTGTTTTTTTGTTTTGTTTTATTAGCTCTGATTTGTTTTGGCAGACAGATGACTTAAGAAGTTATTGACAATACATAGCAGTGTATAATTATAGTAACTGCTGATTGTGTGTTTGTGGAGTTCAGGGAAGGGAAGAATACTGCCATATATATATATATATATATATATATATATATATATATATACTTTGAAGGCCCCATAATTGATGGCATTTTACCAGAATGGGCAGTTTGGCCATTGCAGAATGTGGCTCCTGCAGGTCAGAGGAGAGAAATGTGGTGATGTGGAAACTGGCTATTATGGCAGAGAAGTCCTATCCAATTAATACCTTTAGTTATAGGCTGAGGATTGCTGACCTGCTTATCCTTTTTATCAATATAATAGTGAAATATTTATTAAGCACCACAGCACATTAGATTTTATGCATGACAGGTTTAAAAGAAAATTGTAATTACTATTCTTAAGGAACTGTTCTCCCCCTCCCCCCAAAGTGAGTATGTAAAATAAACAGAAGGCTCTTTTGCAGTTCAGGAGGCTCCTGGAATCCATTTTATTTGTAGGGAAAGGAGCAGGAATTAGAAAAGGGTAAGAATAAAATGGGTCACTTAGGTGTCCTGGTCAGAGACAACAAATAAAAGGAAGTACCCTTATTACATTTATCTATCTGATCCTGAGAATATAAATACCTGCACCAGTAGTTGGAGAGGAATAGATGTCAGAATTATGTGTTTCTGGGACCATACCTTCTTAAAAACAGCAACTGTTTGTTATCTACTGCTGTATAATGTATTACTCCAAAACTTAGAGGCTTTGTCTCCCATCTACCCCTCCCCCTTTTTGATTGATTTCAGAGAGAGGAAAGGAGAAAGAAAGAAAAAATATATACATACCGTATCTATTTGTTGTTCTATTGACTGTACTTTCATTGGTTGCTTCTTGTATGTGCCCTCACTCGGGATCTAACCAACAACCTTGGCATATTAGGACAATATTCTAGCCCAGTGGTCAGCAAACTCATTAGTCAACAGTCACAAACCTCGACTTGGGAGCCACATCTGCCTCGCAAGCCGATCACTGCTTCAACCAACTGAGCTACCTTGGCCAGGGCTCAGTCTGTCTCTTACTAGAAAAATTTAGGACATTCACATTTATTGTGGTATTTGTATTTGATAATGTTTGGTTCTAATTGCTTTTCTTTGATGGGGCGGTAAAATTTTCTTGTTTGCTTTTTTCCCTTTTCTGTTTTGCTGTATTAATCAAGTTTTCTTTTTCCCTCTTCCATTCTCTTAGAGATTTAGAAGTCCTGTTTCTTAATTCTTTCTTCCCAATAAATTGTACCTAGGTGTTATAATTTCTAAGGAAAACTCTTAAAATTCATGATTGTGACATAATTCCCATAATTTAGTTGTGTTGAGAATCCTACAGTAATGATTCTTTTTCTCTCAGAACTTTGTACCCCACAATATTTTGTTATTGTTGGTGTTAATCACATTCTCTTTTCAGATAACCTTGGGGGGTGGGGGAGGCTTAAATACTTTTAAAGGGTTTTCTCTTTATTTTTTAAGTTTATTTTTCTTTCAATACCCAACTCAAGCTTTGGGAAAATCCTTTGGAAATGTTCATGCTCACTTGTGGTTTTGAAGCATTCATTTAATATGCATTGCTTCCTTTAACCTTTTAGTTGGGCAATCAGGCTTTTCATCTTCATTATCTCTTTCTTGTTTTCATTTTGTTCCTTTTGCATGAAAGTCTGCTGTTATTTTTGGCAGTAAAATATTGTGATGAGCAGTTTTGTCCAAAGGAAGGGGCTGATATCAGAAAAAGTGTGGAAGGTAGTTTCTGGGTACATTGAAAATGGATGCCCACTACCGGGCAGTAAACATTTCTCAGATAGATGACCTCAAAGTAATACATTACAGTCAGGTAATGTGTAGCATGGGAAACTTCCTTAAGTTTCCCATGCTACACATTACCATCTAACCTGCTTTTCCTACAAAACTATCATCTTTGGGCCATATAGCTTATTATATATAATGTAACCTTTAATGCTCTCACCACACATAAGAAAAGTTGACTATGTGAGCTGATGGATATGTTAACTAACCTTATTGTGGTAGTCACTTCATATTATGTATATTAAATCATTACATCGTATGCCTTAAACTTACACCAGGTACTATATTGGTTATATCTCAATAAAGCTAGAAAAAATTTTTTAAAAATTAAATATATTTTATTGTTTTTTTACAGAGAGGAAGGGAGAGGAGAGAGAATTAGAAACATCGATGAGAGAGAAACATCAATCTGGGGATGTGCCCGCTATCCAGGTATATGCCCTTGACCAGAATCGAACCTGGGACCCTTGAGTCCACAGGCTGACGCTCTATCCACTGAGCCAAGCCGGTTAGGACATAAAATTACAGTAATTTAAAAAGAGAAATATCAGTTTTTACAACTTTATATTTATTTTTTAAATTATTGCTGATGTTTTGTTTAGATATTGTATGGCAGCCCATAATATGCATTTGTGTGTCTGTCTTTTCTATTTTAGGGTGACTGGGAATGTCAGCGAGATTAAGTGGCTCGTTTCCTGATGGCTTTTCATGTACAATGACACATTGTTTGTGATGGCATCCGAGACCGAGAAGACCCAGGCCTTACTCCAGTCTTGCAGCACTCAGTCTCTTCTTTCCAGCCTGGGCCTGGGGATATTCTGCCTCGTAGCTGACAGACTTCTGCAGTTTTCCATAATTCAGCACAATACCTGGCTCCGCGCCCTCTCCGACAATGCAGTGCACGGTGTGATCGGCATGTGGTCCTGGGCGATCGTCATTGGAATCAAGAAGAAGACTGACCTGAGAGAGATCTTTCTAGCTGGGTTTTTAGCCTGCGTTATTGACGTGGACCACTTTTTACTAGCTAGATCCCTGTCTTTACAGGTAAGAGGCATATCTGTTTAATTTTCCTTTGATTTTGTTAGCACCATTATATCCAACTTTGCGGCATCATTTTAGTTACAACTAGAGAAGACTGACCTTGTTTTAAAATAAGAAAGCCCAGCCCTGGCCGAGTGGTTCAGTTCGTTGGAGTGTCATCCTGTACACCAAAAATACACAAACCTTATACATTTAGGATTTAATATGGGTTGTATTGATTTTTAGAGAGAGAGGAAGGGAGAGGGGTAGAGAGAAATGTCTATGAGAGAGAAGCATCATTGATCAGCTGCCTCCTGCACACCCCCTACTGGGGGTTGAGCCCACAACCCTGGGCATATACCCTGACCGGGAATCAAACTGGTGACATCCTGGTTCACAGGTTGACATTCAACCACTGTGCCACCTTGACCAGGCAGGACAATATTTTAGAGTTTTAGGAAGTATGTATAAAAATGCTGTTTGCCAGGAAGGAAATGATAGAGGTATTGCTTCCCGCCCTCCCCACAGGCTGCTCTGACTCTCCCGCGAAGACCCTTCCTTCACTGCTCTACGCTGATTCCCGTCGTGGTTCTCACCCTCAAGGGCACCATGCACCTCTTCAAGCTCAAAGACTCGTGGTGCTTCCTCCCGTGGATGGTCTTCACATCCTGGACCTCACACCACATCCGGGACGGCCTCCGTCACGGCCTGTGGCTGTGCCCGTTTGGAAAGACCCCTCCCTTGCCAGTCTGGCTTTATGTCGTAAGCACGGCGTCTCTGCCTCACCTCTGTTCCATGGTCATGTATTTAACGGGGACAAGACAGGTGATGTCTTCAAAACACGGAATCCGTATTGATGTCTGAGGTCACCGTGCAGCAGCCTCAGAGAAACAAATGGTTCGGACAGTGATAATTAAGGATGCCCAACATTAAAGGGACTTTTAGGAAACATACTAGGTACTTATGTGAATTATTATAATTCCCGAATCCTCTTGCTCAGGAGGTGTGTGCACTTTTTTTTAATGTTACGTTTGTTGTAATTCTGTTTTTCTCTAACAGTTTCATGCAGTATTAGACTTCCATTTGTTCCACTTCTGTTTTTATTTTTTCTTCTGTGTAATCTGGCTTTACTAATAGCATGATTAGATTGACATCCAGTTGCGTTTTCTGGAAGTAGAGTTTTGAGGTAGTTGATTTCCTGACGAAAAATAATTCAAATTTTAGGGTGAATAGTTTGTGGAAGATTAGCATGATGTTTGGATCCTCATTTTCCTGAGATACTGAAACAGTGAAAAGACCAAAGTTAAGGAGACCCCGTGAGTGAGATGTACTAGTACAGTGAGGGCTAAGACTTCCTTCTGCCTGTCTGTGTGGACCCTGACGGGGTGGAACTGCCCAGTGCTGTAGTGAGTTGTGGTTACTAGCAGGATCAGCACCAGTGCAGTTGTGCTGAAAATATTATAGCATTCATAAAAGACAGTAACCAAGATTAGATCTAGGTTATCTATATATATAAAACCCTAATATGCAATAGGCCAAACGGTGGAACACCGAACAACTGGTCTCTATGATGTGTGCTGACTGCCAGGGGGTGTGCACAAAACATGGCAGGTGTCGGCCACGGTGGGATGGGGGACAAAACGGGGCACCAGTCGCTGTCATTGGGACGAGCCTTTGGTGGTTACTGAAAATTCTTTGCTCCATAAGCCACAGTTCCACCCGGTGCTCGCACCTGCTGCTGGCACCCGTGCTAGCCCCGGCCCCCCTTGCACCTGGTGCCAGTGCTAGAGCCACTGCTCACACCCACTGCTGACGCCCGGCGCCAGTCCCAATCAATTAGCAGCATCAGCAGGCACGAGCGGTGGCTGCCAGCCCCAATCATCCCTGAGGGCTTCTCCACCTCCCCCTACTCCTGAAGGGCGATCAGGGCAGCAGCCACCACCCGCACCCACTGACAGCTCTGGCTCCACTTGCACCCGCTGATGGCGTGAGCCAATTGGGGCGGTCCCAGCAGCGGGTGTGAGCAGGGCTGGTGCAGGAACCAGGCTGCCAGCAGACGGGACCAGGTGCCATGGTGGGAGTGGCCAGGCAGGAGTGCAGAGGATAGGTGGAGACCCACCCCTGTAGCTTTGCGGCCCACAGTTCCTTCCAAGGTGCATGAATTTGTGCATTGGGGCCCTAGTTGTCTCAGAAATCACTTTAGAAAATTATTGCAATATGTCGGCTATAGTAACATCTTCCTGAAGTATTATTATGTCAGTATCTTTGCTCAAAAATCTCATGTGTTAGGGTTTTAACTGTTTTGAAAAACCTACCTAAATTTAACAAAATATTTGCTAAGAATTAACATAAAGTATTGCTACTTGGCTCATAATATAGAATTTGAATACACACACAAAAAAAGAACTTACCAGTAATGCCATTTTAAATGTGAACTCCTGGATGTGCCATTAAAATTGTTTTAGTTGCTGTCAATTTCTTTATACACTCCTCTAAAATATTACACCAGTCAAACAGTTTTTTAAACATCTGCCCAATACTGAGAGACACAACAGCTTTTCTGAAAATGAAACTATTTTAGAAAATTTGATTTTTTTCTTTTTTTCTTCTCGATTGCTCGTCTGTTAAAAATGGTTAGTCTGTCTTAGAGAAGGGAATTGGGTTGCTGTGAGTTTATCTCTGCACAGTGTGATGTTGCTTTGATATAAAAGGCAGGGCCCCAGAGGCACCGATTTTGTTTGCACATGTGCACCATCTGCTGCCTTGGTAGTTGCTTACACATTTTGTGATTTTTCTTGCTAGTGACTGTGTGCCTTCCTCGCTGAGAAATGATGCAGCAATGCCTTACTGATCCAGCAGGTTTTTCTCATTAGGTTAAACAGTTCTGTAAATTGTTACCATTGTTTAAGCTCTGTAGTGCAAGCATGCGGCCCACCGACCACAAGTTTGATATATTATACTTGCTGTAGTGTTTTTTGTTGTTGTTAAAGCCAATTGACTGCATTCTGTTTTACAGCCTACTGGACCAGTGGTCATCAAACCGCGGCTCGCAAGCCACATGCGGCTCTTTGGCCCCTTGAGTGTTCTAACGCCACTTCTTCAAAATAGACTTGCCCAGGCTGGAAACCGACTTCTGCGCATGGGCCACGAAGTTTCAGTCGCACTGTACATGTGCACCTGCACGTGGTATTTTGTGGGAGAGCCACACTCAAGCAGCCAAAGAGCCGCATGTGGCTTATAAGCCTCGGTTTGCCGACCACTGCACTAGACCTTATAATCTGTTATCTTTTGAGAGCAATCATTGTGGCAGTTTGGTTGGTTTAATCATAAATATATGTTGTGGGAGTAAATTTGATTAAGGTTGAGATTTTTAAAAAGCATATGATTTCAGAAACCTGTGAACATAAATCATATATCTTGTATGACTTTTTCTGACTAAATTATAAAATTCTATTTTTTTCTTTCTCCATGTTAGGCAAAGGAATGTGTTTAAAACATAGGGCCTTATTTAAGAATGCCACCTCGGCCTTTGGGGGCTGTTCTACCTTCTTATGAGAATGGGAGTTCACTTTGACCACGACTCTTTGCTTCTACAGCAACTGCAGATTGTAAGTGTGGTTTAGCTCTCAAGAATCAGAAATGGTCCTTGTCCTAAAGCTGTGGCTGCAGCATCTAGAAATATAACATCAGACTTCCCATTCTCGGCTGCCATTGCATTCCTTTCTTGTACCCGCTGTGTTGTGTCAATACTTGAGATGGAAAGTTGGCTTTTATCTCCTTTGTGTTTGTTTTCTCTGGACTCCAGTCATGAAGTCATAGCCCATAAGGAGTTTCTTTTCCTAATTACTGATTCCCTCTTCTCATTGTGAGACTCACCGAACATGAAATTGTACCGTGACAGGACCTCAGAAAACCTTATTATTTTGCCTTGATGCAGATTAGCTTATAAGTCATTCCACAATGATGAGTATTCTTCGTCTTAGGCTCTCCTGAGAAACGCTGTTTGCCACTTCTCTTCAAAACGGTTACTATATTTTTTTAATGCCTGTTTCATGTGATACAAGACATACTGTATTTAATCCTAGTGAAATATGTTAGAATGTGGGAAGGGGTGGATTTTTATTTAGTTTTGTTATGAATTTACAGATATTATTTTGTTACTAGGTACTTTTTGCCTCAGAGACATCAAGAAATGCTTATTTCTAATTATTGCAAGATATTATAACTATTGTAATGATGTTATAGAGATAAACCTTTATTTAAATGTGAACCCCAAAGCATTGAATCTAATTAAAATGTAAGAGAAAACAGCAATGAGTTGTTTTGATTCTCAGTTTGGCAAACTTTAGAAAGATGGATAACATTGAGTGTTAGCAGAGTGTAAGCATATAGGCACTGTTGGTATGACAACAAACTCATACTTTCTTGCAGAGGGAATTTGGTAGTGTGTCTTTAAGCCATTTTACCCAGAAATTTCAAATTCCAAATTCCAACTCTAGGAAAACTAAACAGGTACATATACAAAGGAAAAAGACTTTTTTTGGCTGCTTAAAATGAAAAACACAAACAAAAAACCCCACATATCTAAAAACCACCTAAAAGTCTTTAACTAGAGAGTTAGCACCTAACTGGTGGTACAAGCAGTAGAATACTAATGGGTGAAGTAACCCCTGTAATGTATGCAAAATTATCTGCAGGAAAAAGTAAAAACCAGCCGTAGAGCAGTATGGGTCCATATTTGTAAAGTAGGTATTCCCATTTTTCTATTGTAAGTGCAGTCCTTGTCCCACTGGTATGGCTCAGTGTTTGAGCACCAACCTGTGAAACAGGAAGTCACATTTTGATTATTTTGGCTCCATCCCCAGTAAGGGGTGTGCAGGAGGCAGGCGATCAATGATTTTCTCTCATCACTGATATTTCTATCTCCCTCTCCCTTCCTCTCTGAAATTAAAAAATATATATATACTCAGGGAAAGTAGGGGAGGGTGGGGAAAAGGGGACGAGATCAACCAAAGGATTGTGTGCATGCATATGGGCCTAGCCAGTGGCCATGGACAACAGGGGGGTGGGAGCATATGTGGTGAGGGGTTTGGGATGGGAATGGGGGGATGAGGACAATTATGTGATACCATAATCAATAATATATATGTGTGTGTGTGTGTGTGTGTGTGTGTGTGTGTGTGTGTATTTAAAAATAAGAGCAGTCCTCAGGCTGCAGAGCAGGTCTGGTCTGAGTGAGCAGCTGAATTCCTCAGAGGCCTGGACCGGGGCCTCTGGGGCTGATTGTCCCAGTGGGTCTGCAAGCTGTTGATCTGCTTCTCCGCTTCCACTTGGGATTCACCACCTCCATTAGACCCACATGCTGGGACTGTTACTTATTTCCCCAGCCTCCAGGAATATCCCAAACCCATATTTGATCCAAGCCCAGCAGGAGGCTCACAGCCTTCCCTGACCTGAAGAGCCCTGGGAATACTCTCCACAGTCACAAATCCAAGGCATTGCCATGTGTCTCCTTGACATTCGTTCACATACCAGGAATAAGGCAATAATTAAAGGGTTTCTGCAGCACTGGACCCTTTTGACAGACCTGGCAAGGAGCTGTTGGGTTTGCCTTCGCAGAGATACTCCTGAGTGTTGCTTCAGAGTCTGGGTAGCCGTCCAATCCCATCAGCCCCATAATCACCTGAACACATCCTCTGATCTTCCTCAGACGTCATCTATTGTTTTCAAAGAAAACACCCCCCTGAATTCACACACCTGAACTCACTTAATACTGATTTGATTTCATTAGAACCCCCTGCCCGGGCTCCAGGTCAGTGATACCATCCAATCACATAAAGCGAAGGCAGGGAGAAAAACTTCCATAAACGTTGGGGTGATGCTAAATAACGTATAAAATGCAGATAGTGCCCTAAATGGTTAGGCTCAGTGGGTAGAGCGTCAGCCTGCGGACTGAAAGGTCGGGGGTTTGATTCTGGTCAAGGGCATGTACCTTGGTGCAGGCACATCCCCAGTAGGGGGTGTGCAGGAGGCAGCTGATCAATGTTTCTAACTCTATCCCTCTTCCTCTCCGTAAAAAATCAAAAAATATATTTTTTAAAAAGTGCGGATAGTGTGACCTACCAGACGGCAGGCAGGGTAACGTCTGTAAATGTCAGTGGTCTTACCTGCTGCCTGCGGCCACGGCACACAATCACAGGGAGTGGCTGGAGCGTCTTCAGGTATCCTGAAGAGCCTCTGCCGTGAGACCAGGAGGCCCGTCTGCTTGGAGAGCCATGAGCAAATGCCACGCTTCCCTCTTCCCTGACCTCAGGCTGTTGGCCCGGCTGTACAATGGCCTCGGTGTCTGGCCTGGCTTCTGGCTGGCAGAGACGCTGACGTTTCCCTGGATCTGAGTGGACTGCTGTCGGTCAATCCGGCCTCATGAAGAGTGGCACCCCCCCAGGGCCAACCCTGGAAGGGGCTCTGCCACTCTTAGGGCCCGAGGCCAGAGCAAGTGACTCAGCAAGCCTCATGCTCCCATCCCGACACATCCATCCAGGTGAAACGAGAGCCTCCGGGGAGCTTTGAACAGGCAAACATATTACAAAAGAGGGAGAAGACAGGATGGAAGGGACGGGGAAGCTGTTTGGCCCACTTTGAGGGTACAGTGGGTGTGTGTGTGTGGGGGGGTGTGTATTACCCTGCTTTTACTGTTGTAACAAATCACCATAAACTCAGTGGCTTAAGATAAGACAAATGTATTATCTTAGTCTTTTTTAAAAATATATGTTTTATTGATTTTTTTTACAGAGAAGATAGGAGAGGGATAGAGAGCTAGAAACATCGATGAGAGAGAAACATTAACCAGCTGCCTCCTGCACACCCCCCATCTGGGATGTGCCCACAACCAATATACATGTCCTTGACCAGAATCGAACCTGGGACCTTGCAGTCTGCAGGCCGACGCTCTATCCACTGAGCCAAACTGGTTTCAGCAATCTTACAGTCTTTATATGTGAAATCCAGCCCGGGTCTCAGCAGGGCTGGTTCCAGGGGAGGCTGTCTCTCAGCTTCCAGGGCCACCTGCTTTCCTGGGCGTGTGGGCCCTCGTCCCACCCTCCACGCTGGTGCTCAGGCAGGCTTCCTGTCTCCCTGCATCTCCCTGGCCCTCCTGCCGCAGCCCGTCTCCCTCCGACCACCCACCGGGGGAAGGCTCTCTAGCTAAGGACCCTGTGGTTTTGTGGGCTCACCTGGACAGCCGGGGTAAACGCCGCATCGCCATGGTCCTAGCCATGTGGGCAAAGCCACTGTTGCTCCTGAGGCAACACATTCACAGGTTCCGGGGACTAGGGTGTGCAGATCTTTGGGGGCCCTTATTCCGTTTACCCTTGTTTAGACTTCTTATGTTGTTGGTGGTGCTATGTCTGTTTCCTGTGAGTTGGCTAGCCACCCCTCACCCCACATGCCGCAACTGCTCTCTTGACTCCCGTGCCCTGGACTGGGATCTAGCCCAGGTCTCTGGACAGGTCACTCCCCTTTTCTGAGCTGATGAGAAAGAGGCCAGATGTGTCCCGAGGCTCCCTTCCCCCTCGCACTGCCTCGAACCCCTGCTCCTGGTCCCGGGAATGGCGGGCTCTTCGAACTCCTGGGAAATGACCTCCAACCCACCTTGTCAGAGTTGGGTTTAATCTCGGGGTCGTAATGTCCTCCTTTCCCCCCTTGCTATCAGCATGTATAGTTGTGTTTCTCTTCTGTCTTCTCCATGTGGAACTATTGAATCTTTACATAAACCCTTCTTCTATTCTCCATAAAAGAAATAAAAAATTTAAATTCGTAAAAGTCTTGGCCAACTGAACATTCACAGGTCCTTTGGGCGAAGATGAATATAATCCTCGCCCTCACAGAACACTGGCTCAGCCAGCCGCCAAACCAGTGTTTCAGGAGCTCCTATGTGTCAGGCCTCCATGAAAGACGAGTGTTATTTGTTTGAAAGACGTATGTTCTGCTGAAACCAGTTTGGCTCAGTGGATAGAGCGTCGGCCTGCGGACTGAAAGGACCCGGGTTCGATTCTGGTCAAGGCCATGTACCTTGGTTGCGGGCACATCCCCAGTAAAAGGTGTGCAAGAGGCAGCTGATTGATGTCTGTCTCTCATCGATGTTTCTAACGCTCTATCCCTCTCTCTTCCTCTCTGTAAAAAAAATCAATAAAATATATTAAAAAAAAAGAAGAAAAGAAAAAAGAAAAGGAAAGGAAAGAAAAGAAAAGAAAAGAAAAAAGACTAATGTTCTAATGGTGGACAAGACTCTGGGGCGCTCTAACTCTCCCTTCAAGCCCCAGCTCAAGAGTGTGTGTCTCTGCTCAGTCTCCAGGGAAGAGCGGGGCCCCTCCATGCAGCCTTCCGCAGCCTCCTGTCTGTGGTCCCCACCGTGGGGCAGGCTAAAGGCTTTGCCCTGCCCCCTCATCCAGCCCCACCCAGTCCAGGGAGGAGTGGGGGGAAGAAACCTCCCAGTTAGAACACATTTGGGCATTTGCCACTTATTATGAGTTCACGTGGAATGCTCAGTGCTATTTTAGCACAACAGCCCCAGAATATAAGTTCCCAAGAAGCCAGTGCAAAGCGGTGTAAGTGTGCGGACAGGACTCTCTTCTCTCACCAGGGACGCAAATGGAAATTAATCTCGGGGTGTTGAGCTGACTACAGCCTCCCAAATATCTCCCCCTGGTGCTGAGCAGCCATAACTGGGCAGAGGAATGCAAAATCCTCCCAGAGGCCTGGGGAGGAGGACTGAGAATGATTTCCCCCAGGGAGGTGCCAGACCCCGGGGAGGGAGCACTGAGCCCGGAGAGGCGGGGGAGGAGGCTGTGGGGAGGGAGGGGAATAGTGCCTACCCTAGGGTGCCCTCCGCAGGCCCCCAGAGAAAGCCCTGCAGGAGGCCCAGGCGATAAGGCCTTGCCCAGAGGAAGAAGGACTCAGACTGTGTGTGTTCCCTTTGGGGAGAAAACCATAAGGAAGTCTCAGGAAAACTGATAGATGGCGTACTGCAGAGGGCCTCAAACTTTTGGCCAACAGTTCACAAAACCACGCCGCCAACAGAAATAGCAGCTAATCCCTGTTATCTGGGAGTAGCTGTGTGGTGTCCAACGGCTGTCCCTGTGCTTCCCTCAACCATTTCGGCTAAGCCACAGTGTCCTAGGAGTTGGTTGTGGAAACCTGTGTTTTCCCGGCACCCAGCTTGGGAACTGCATTCCTGATTTTAATGCAACAGGAGCCTTCAAATTGAGGACTTGGGTGCGAGGAAGCCTCAATCCCAGTCAAGACGAAGACCCGGCTGAGGACCTGTCTTGATTTCTCCCACTTCCGGAGAGTAACCAAAGACCCACCCTGAGGAGCACCGAAGGGTGGAACCTACCACCGGAATCAACATTGAAATTGTTGGTTCTCTCGCCCTAACCAGTTTGGCTCAGTGGATAGAGCGTCGGCTTGTGGACTGAAGGGTCCCAGGTTCGATTCCGGTCAAGGACATGTACCTTGGTTGTGGGCATATCCCCGGTGGGGGGTGTGCAGGAGGCAGCTGATTGATATTTCTCTCTCATCGATGTTTCTAACTATCTCTCCCTCTCCCTTCCTCTCTGTAAAAAAATCAATAAAATAACCGAAACCAGTTTGGCTCAGTGGATAGAGCGTTGGCCTGCGGGCTGAAAGGTCCCGGGTTCGATTCCAGTCAAGGGGCATGTACCTTGGTTGCAGGCACATCCCTAGTAAGGGGTGTGCAAGAGGCAGCTGATCGATGATTCTCTCTCATCGATGTTTCTCTCTATCCCCCTTTTTTCCTCTCTGTAAAAAAAAAAAAAAATCAAATATATTTTTTTTAAAAATCAATAAAATATATTTTAAAAAAGAAAGAAATTGTTGGTCCTCTCCCTCTCTCCCCTGAACCATTCTGGGCTCCTGAAGGGCAGGGACATTCTCTCCGTCTCTTACTCTGTCTCCAGCACAAAGTGGGGACGCAGTACATTTTTGCTGAACGAACGAATGGCTAAATGGTTACCTCTGTTTTCTTAGAGGATAAGTGCTGATCAACAGCTCTACCTCCCACACCTGCTCCAGGCTCCCTCCTCCCAGGCCCCGCCACAGGCAAGAGGCCCCAGACCTGTGCTAACTTCTACGGAAATGAGCAGCTCCACTGCAGAGGCAATTTGGCTGCAAACCAAGACCAGAGTGGGGTTTCGTATCTTTCCACCAGATAATGTATTTTTATGACTTGTCACCCTTGTCCCCAGAAACTTTTAGTTTAACAAGCAATTTAAAAACAGATTTCTTTACACAATGGTTCTCCATAGAGGCGTCCATCAGAACCACCCGGGAGCTTTCTAAAAGTCAAATCCCTGGCCTCCCGCTCCAAAATTCCGATGCATAGGTCCATGGAGGTGTTTCTGCAGGTAGCTATTTTTTTTTTTAATTGTTTCCAAGTGACTGGCCCACACCCACAACTCGCAATAAGCACGCCAGCTGTCAGATGGCCACTGACCTCCCCTGAGCCAGTGGCTGGAAACAGGTCTGGTCTTAAAGAGGCGCCTGGTGCCCAGGAAAGAAACCTGAGAAATAGGCTCCTGAGCACCTCCCCGGGTGGGGCCACCTGGCTGCCTTTTCCTTCTGCTGCTTCTCTGTGCCCAAGTACACCTTAGCCCATTTCCAGACCTTCCAGCCTCGCCTTCGGTGCAGCCTGAGCGGGAGAGGCAGGAATGCAGCAGACGGGACTCACCATCCTGGCCTTGGCTGCCTGGGCTGCTCTTCGCCCCTCCGCAGGTGAGTGGGGTGTTGTTTCCAAGCCCCAGTGGAACGGGGTGCCCCCCAGAACAGAGGGGCTGCCAGCAATCTGGAGCAGGCATTTCTGTCCTCAGCTAGGAATGTCCAGGGATCTACAAGAGACTGGCATGTTCCTGATCTCCAAGAATTTTCAGGAAGAAGCTTCATGTGAACAGGAGTCTTAGTGACTGGTTTACCTGGCAGATTGGGACAACTGTGAGCTGCGTTTTCTTTTCTGGTGAGAGAGTCTTAGAAAGTCCCCAGGGAGCCGTTGGGGCAGAGCCCCTCTTATTATCCGTCGCCCCCTCACCCTAACCTGCTACACTGTCTGAGTGCGAGGTGCATGTTCCTGGAAGAAGACAGACTTTTTAGGGTTTGGGAAGTTGCAAGTTTTCTGGACACAGTCAGCTCTGTAGAAGCTGAAAACCGAAACTTCAATTAGACCTTAAGAAAGGGCTGCAGGCCCTAGCTGGTTTGGGTCAGTGGGTAGAGCATCAGCCTGTGGACCGAAGAATCCCAGGTTCAGTTCCAGTCAATGGCCCATGCTCAGGTTGCGGGCTCGATACCCAATAGGGGGCATATGAGAGGCAGCCAATCAATGAGTCTCAAATTTGATATTTCAAGCGCTCTCTCCTTCTCTCTTTTTCTCTGAAATCAATAAAAAAAATATTTTTTAAAGGGGATATGCGGGAGACCTATACAATTTATATCCAAGAGAACTTACACAGGGAGCGGCTAACATGTAGGTGGAGATGGGAATTGCGTTTGGATTGGAGGCCATGTTTTCTACTGTGTTTAGGAATCCCGGACACAGGTGCTTAAAGCTTGACTGAGCGGTTACTCTTCTCCACATCTGGTGCTCTAAACTTTACCTGCAAAGATTCTCTAAATCCAGACCAGATGTGAAATAGGAGTCTTATTTGGTCTGCTCTTAAAAATGTAAAAAGCCAGCCCTAGCTGGTTTGGCTCAGTGGATAGAGCGTCGGCCTGAGGACTGAAGGGTCCCAGGTTTGATTCCAGCCAAGGGCATGTGCCCAGGTTGCAGGCTCCATCCCCAGTAGGGGACGTGCAGAAGGCAGCCGATCAATGATTCTCTCTCATCACTGATGGTTTCTATCTACCTCTCCCTCTCCCTTCCTCTCTAAAATCAATAAAAATAGATTTTTTTTAAAAAGTGTAAAAGCCAGCATACTAATTTGACACCCACTACTCACACGTTCACAGATGCAAATTGGATTTTAAATCTACTTTTGACCAGTCAGATCTGGCCACAATGGACGGCCTGCTTCCTGGCGGCCTGTGTCTGGATGTGTGGTACTGAGCACAGGGAAAATCTCACCAATCTCTTCTTCATTTCTACCAGCCTGGTTTATCAAGACAAAGACAAGCGGCTTTCATTATATATGTTCTTGTAAAGTTTGTCAGAAAAAGGCACCACTGAAATTTTAGGACTCCCTTTCACTGTTTCCCAAGGGTCGGCCTGCCGAGGTTTATCTAAACAGGGCATTTGGGCAAATGTTTACTCACATAAGCGTTTCCCTTCAGCCTCCTGATCCGGCTCCAGCTGTCCTCGCAGCAGCAGGGGCAGCACTGCCTGCAGGACCTGCAGGACCGGGGAGGGAGGGAGGGCACAGGGCAACGAGAAGCCCTGCCAGGCTCAAGGCCCGGGGTCCAGGGACTGAGTCCTGGCAGAGAGGGGACAGGAGCACACAGAGGTATTTGAAAAGGAGCAGTGGTGCCTGGCCGGCATGGCTCAGTGGTGGAGTACCGACCTATGAACCAAGAGGTTATGGTTCCATTCCTGGTCGGGCTGTGGGCTCGATCCCCAGTGTGGGGTGTGCAGGAGGTAGCAGGTCAGTGATTCCCTCTCGTCACTGATGTTTCTATCTCTCCCTTCCTCTCTTAAATCAGTAAAAATATATTTAAAACTTTTTAAATTAATTTATTTTTAAAGCAAAGGAACAGAGGTGATGAAAAAGAAAGAAAAAAAGAAAGAAAGAAAAGAAAGAAAGAAAGAGAAAGCCGAGGAGATGGGACAGTAGCTTTTTGGGTTAATCTCAGGGCTTTCCCTAGGCTGTTTGTGCTGGAGGAAAATCACATTGTCTGAGAAGCCCCACCTCTACCCTTTAAGGGTAAGTGATGGGTTAAAATATGGAGGGGAAGCCAGAGACCAGGTGTGGAACTGAGAGGGGCAGCCCCACTGCTTTCATGGCCAACCTCAGGGTCTGTGTCCCGGGGCCCTGCGGAGGCTGGCGGGATTCAGCTGGGCGGGGTGGGGAAGGCCAGGGAGGGGGAAGGGGACGGAGGGAGGGATGCTGAGTAGTGCTGGGAAGGAGGCACGGGTGGCCTTGGCCACGGTCCAGGCGGGGGGAGGGAACAGGGAAGTGGATGTGCCAGTTTGGGACACAGGGAAATACATGCTGTTCCTCTGGGCATTTGCTGTTCTCTTATCTTAATGACTCCTTTAATAGCCTCCCTGGTGTGACGGCCCAGCGATTGGCATTGCCAGGGTGTTCTGCGTCCATCAGGAAGCAGCTGACGTGCCCACGGTTAAAAGCCTTGGATTCCACCCAAAGACAAGAGGGCATATTCCACACCCGCTGACACAGCTACTGGCTCCCAGAACTCCATGCTGAGCCATAAAGACGTCTCTCGTGCCCTCTCTGGGCCCCGAGCCAGGTTCCTTAGAGCCAGGGCCCGGGGCGCTGTGGGCCTGGCTGTGTCCACCAGGTGCGGGCGGGGGATTCGGCTGCGCTGAGTCCCAGACGGGCTTCCTTCTGACGGGCAATCCACTGCCCCAGGTGAGGATGGCCCCTCCCTGCACAGATACTTGCTGGAGACAGCGCTCTTGGCATCCTTAAAGGAAGGTAGCTTTTGTTTGCTTTAATCACAGGAGACTCACTAGGGAAGGTTCCCAAAGATATATTCAGAAGTTGTCCGGCACAGTTTTCAAGGGAAAAATCCTGTGCCCTGTAGCCTACCGACTGAGCTCCAGACCTTGGAGATGGCACAGCCCTGGCTCACCTGAGGGCGACAATAATCCCTTGGTCAGCCCTCCAATTTGCAGGGGCAAGTCCTTCCCAAGGAGTTGTCTCAGTGGATGCGCTGGCTCCGAAGCCACCAGCAGGGGGCACTGCTGGCTGCTGCGCTCTCCAAGAGCCTGGTGCTGGAGAAGTGCCCTGACTTGAGCCTGCTGAGAAGAGCCAGGAAAACCCTCTCCCTGCCATGTCTCTCTAGCGCTGTCTACCGACAAAGACAGCTGGCGAAGGACAAGTATTCCAGGGGCCCTTCTTAATTTTAATTGCACAGAATTGGCCAGTAAGGATGACTTTGAAGTGGAGGGGCGACACCTTCCACAGGCACCAAATAGACAGACCCCTGGATGCCCCATGGGGCAGGGACTGTGTGCTTTGTCCAGTTTGTCTCCACTTACTGAGCATTTACTATTTGTCACCCCTGTCCTAAGCACTTAAGGGTACACACTCATGCAATCTTCACAGCAACCCTGTACAGGAGTGCTATGTCCCGCCCCTACTATTATATTACAGATAAGGAAACGGAGACACAGAGAATGAACTCGGCTTGTATGTGGCAGAGCTAGGAATCGAACCCGGTCGGCTCTCTCCATATGCTCAACTGTGCAGTCAGGTCTCTCAGTGTATCTCTGCAGCCTGAATCACCCACCCCTTCGGGGCTACCCCCTGGTCACTCCAGTGTCCATGCTGTGGGAAGTGCTGAGGGCCAAGTGGCTTCATATGAAGGTAAAGAAAAGCCCTCAGCACTCTGCATTACCCAAACGTTACCCCAGGTTCCAGAGAGCGCCAGGGAGGACTTGACCAGTATTTGGACTTAGCATTTCATGCCTCGTGGCTTGGTGAGTCCTTCCTGCTTGTGTGGTGACAGCAGAGGACACCTTTGTTTGTAGGCATCCATGTGTGACGTGTGACATGTCTCCATGAGGCATGAAGTCCACTAGAATGGGGAAGTGTATCTCTAACCAACCGCATTCGGTGCATTGTGCTTGTTTATGTATTGCCTTCTTAATCTGCAGCCATGGGCTTGAGATACTGCCAGCAGCCAAGTGAACCTTCTCGTCATGTCTTCGTTACCCCAGGAGTCCTTTCTCCAGCAACGGCAGGTGTCTTTGCCCTGATTCCATGTCGCTGTGCCCTTTGTACCAGTGCGTTTCCGATAAGCCCCCGGCTGATGCCGTTGCTGCAGCTCTGGGGACCACACTTGAGTAGCAAGAGGCTGTGCAATACATCCGGGGAAGAGAGGAAGCTGGTTTCCGTATCTACAGTAACAGGGTCCTTTCCCTAAAACCCAAACCGAATTCTTATACCCCAGGTTTGATGTGTGGTGCCCTAGTGTTCCACTTCATCTGTCTTGAACACAGAACTCTCTAAGGCAGTGGTTCTCAACCTCCCTAATGCTGCGACCCTTTAATATAGATCCTCATGTTGTGGTGACCCCCAACCATAACATTATTTTCATAACTGTAATTATGTTACTGAAATGAATTGTAATGTAAATATCTGTATTGTCCAATGGTCTTAAATTCTACAGGTTTTGAACCTGTGGGTCGCAACCATCGGAAAACACAGATATTTACATTATGATTCATAACAGTAGCAAAATTACAATTATAAAGTAGCAATGAAAATAATTTTATGGTTGGGGTTTACCACAACTTGAGGAACTGTATTAAAGGGTTGCGGCATTAGGAAGGTTGAGAATTACTGCTCTAAGGCTTTAGGGACCATGGGTTAGGGGAGGAGCTGGGGGTGAAGGGGATCAATTGATAGAACCCAATCAGGGACTTTCATAACAAGGCACTCATTCCACTTGATACTAGAAACCACAATGATAACAACTCAGAACCAACAGAATCAATAGCAATAGCACCCTAATTAATAAGACAAATAGTAATGCATTTCATGAGATTCTAATATCTTTAAAACATTAAGTATAATGAACAAATAATTTATTTTATATTGAGT